CCAGTACTGTTGGAAGAAGGTTACATTGTTTGGCAATTGAAGTGAAGAACAGTAAAAGTCTATAAACAAATATTTCATGCAAAATTCTAAAGTACTTTCATTCGTTTTTGGTCGTCCTCGTCGAACTTGTAGACGATCGAACCATTCGCGCCTTCGAGTTGCTCAGTAATGGCTGCCAGTTCCAAAAGCAAAAGTTCATTGTTCACGTCCATTGAGAAATGGTTTACCTAAACTGAAGCAGTTTCGAATGCTGTTAATGCTAATGATGATCATATTGCTGGTGTTTTTTGCCTGAAAATGATAAGCTGACTGTTACGAGCAGATGGAAACTGAAATTAGTGCTGAAATTGAGCTATGAATACCAACAACTACAAAAACAACTAAGCAAATAGCTTCTCAAAAAATAGCCGAATATACCAGTATGATTCCATTAAAATCCGAAAATAAACATTAAAATTTTGAACTTCCCACCTAATTTAATCCATCACATCGTGCAGATATCAATATCAAACGACATTCTCTGATTCAAGAGCACCAAATGTAACTGTCAATGTAATTGAAGATTGAACGATCAATCCATGGTTGTTTGCTCACACCCAACTCCTCCATATTTTTCACGGGAATCGTCCGTCCATCAGTCATCGTCTCATCGTTCGGTGTTCAGTGGAAGATCGAAAACTATCGGAAGTATTATCGTAATTTGTTGTTATAACATTTATTCTTAGACCCTGTGTGTAGTAACCTTATTGTTGGTTACGTGTTGGCGTAAGAATAAAGGATTCTCGAGTCGCCAATCTGTGTTGTGGTTTTACGCGTTGGTCATTACCGATTGTTTCCGAAAGACTTCCAGGGACAGCGTGAGTTCCAGCGTAGTAAGAGCTGGACATTGACAGTTTCTGAGAGTTGACTGAGAGCAACGCAGTTAAAGTATATTATGCCGCCGATATTTTGAGAGTCGGAAATGTTTATATTGTCAAATTTCATTTAAAAGGCATATAAAAAACATAACTTGTTACTAAACCGACATAGCAACGGGCATGAACGCTACAGGTAGCGTGGATATGCAATAAAGCCACTCAGTTTCCACTAAAATTACTCTACTGCGTGCAATAGAATTTACCACTATCCTGTGATCCTCTTAACCCTATCTTCATTCACTGCTTGATGCAGCCGAAACTGTAACTGAATGGTGGAGAACGAACAAGTACTTCAAGACTCGTTCTCCACACTTGTAAAGAAGAATCTTACAGTTCTTGCTAAATTCTGATTTGTTATTTGTGAACTAAGGTCTTTCTGACACTCCCATTTGTGGTGAAAAATCATTAATAATGTGTGGAAATAATTCGGTGAGTCCAAATTGGTATTCTTTGTCCAACAAACAACTGCTGCGTATATAGGGACGTCAATGAACTGACAACAATATCCATACTATGCAGTCCTTCAAATAAAATGATTACAAAGGTTTAAGGCAGCTGGGGAACATGGCATAAGGATATTTCCACCGACAGTTATTCTTCATTTTGGAGTGACAGACACTGTGGTGTAGAGTGGGGATGCTATTCTTATCGGGTTTGATAATGAAACTGCACAGTGAATCAGTCAGGGTCATATCACGTTCGACTAACCCGTGCCTACTGTTCTAAATTCCCCCTATTTTATTTCCTATCTCGTAGGCTACATCAAGCACTAGTTTGCCCATTGGCAAAACGGAACATGAAGCCGGGAAATATATCCACCCACGAAGCTCCATTGCTTCACATCACCAAAATTATATCCTCCATACTCATGGAACCTGAAGTTATGTGGCAGTAAGTACTCTATTGTGGTTTGATAAATACGTCCATGCGCTTCAAGTAAGAGCTTGGCTGCAAAAACTCACCAACGCAATATGTTTCACCTGACGATTCCGACGCTCAGTTGTCTTGCTTACTTCGCTAATTCTAAAGAGATGATTCGCAAGGACAATAGCTTAAGGTTAAAAAAATTCAACCAAATCACCGACATCTAAAAGTACAAATGTCTTGAAATTCTCGACTGATGCAACTTTGATTTCTTCACAGCATAAGTGAGCCTCCAAATGAATAAAAGGAGAAGGTGTTTATCAATACCTAAGGCATGCTGTCATTAACTGATAGCAAACTTTAACTTGGAATCCACTTTACTTGTTCCTTGTTTAGATTGTTATCAACCCAAGGCCTCACTGGTGTTTTGTTCTATATTTTTTCCTGTGGTGGAATTCACTCCATCCCCTGCAGTCAACCAAAAATAGGCCTAAAAACGTATGTCGATAAATATGAGCAGAAACCTTTTAATTCCCCACTGACGTCATCAGAAGAAACACTGATATAGACTGCCTATACTAAATGTCATGTCTAATATTTTAGGCTCTAACACCAAAGTTGTACTTTGCATACCCTCTTCATTTTGATCTGAATGAGACAATTTTGTTTCTTAAAAAACAGCTTTTCTCTCAAAATAATTACTCAGATTATTAGCACACAACTTTTAATATTAAAGATCTAAAAGTACTGTAGAGGGCAAGTGAAGCGGGGGATACCTAGGCAAACAAACAGAGGGACGTTTACCATTGAATGGATGAAGAAAACCTTTCAAATCATAAGAAAGATATAGCTCCTACTCGGTTAGTCGACCTATCCCACTGAACTCTTCAGTTACCTACTACATCTGAGAGACCATAGTATGCCGTGTTGTAGATAGCCGGCAGTTTATTTCGAATTACTGCATATATATTTTCGAAAGCACATTTTTGTTTAACGTGAGCTCTTCTCAGTTCAGCCATTATACCCTTCGTATTTGGATGTCGGTCAACCTAGAGGTTGAAGGTCTACATGACAATTACTTGCAATATTGCGTTAAACAGAACAAATTTTGCAATATTTGGCATTACCAATTCCGTAATACTACTTTTGTGACTGTTTTTATTGTCATTCGATAAGATTAGATGCAGTAGTATACCAAATGCTGAAAATTCCACACCCTGTCATCAACATTGTTTTGAAACAAAGGGAATAATTATCACCAAAACTTTTCGAACTTCGATACAAGTCCATTTAGGATGGTGTCAATGAAGTTGAGGAATGAACGATCAGTTCATGGTTGTCTATTCAAAACCAACCCAACATTTTGGCGGGAGTAATTGGTACTGCAGTCATCGTTCCATCGTTTGCTATTCGTTAGAAGACGGAAAAATACTATCAGAAGTATTACTGTGAATTATTGTTATGACATTTATTCTTAGACTTTGCGTATGATAATAACCCTATAGTTGGTCCCAAATTGGTGCAGGAATGAAGGATTCTTGAGTCACCAATCTGTGTTCTGGTTTTTTGCGTTGGTTATTGTGCATGGTTCCTGAAAGTCTTCCAAGGGCACTGTGAAGTCCAGTGTATTTAGACCCGGAAATTGGAAGATGATCTGCCTTCTTGTTTTGCTTTCGGATTGAATTCTGTGAGTTCGTGACTAAGTTAGTGTGTCTGCTTGTGGAAGCAACTTTTTTTGAACATGCAAAAGTTCAGGAACTTGGGAGGTCCAACACACTTACATGGAGGAAAAGAGCTTTCAAAACTGACACAGCGTCTGATGCAAGATGAGATGACAGTGTCCATGAAAAGTTAGAAGAAATAAAATCAGGTGTTGCAGCTGCCGCTCAAATAGCTCTGTGAAGAAATGGAGTCGCAGTCTTCCACGGAAATCCGAAGCAAAACCAAGCTGTTACAAACAGACTGTTGAAGAGTTGAGAGATTACTGTTCTGTGAAGTGAAACGTATGAGATGCAAATGGTACAAACCCTCAAATACGTGGTGATTTGTTGTGCAAATACTAAGAACACAATGGCCAAAGATAAATTCGATTTCAGTTAACAAAAATGTGCATTCAGACAAAAAATTGTCATAGTCAACTAACCGAAAGCAGCCTAACAAAAATACAAAATGGTACATAATGCACAACTTTAGTGTTTAAAAGTGCAGTATTAGATGTGATACAAGGTAACCGAATTTACTTTTTTCGTTGAGTGAGCCCCTCAACTGTCTCCAAAGAGTAGAGTGGACTGGATGGAGTGTCGTACAGAGATTACGAAACGAATAGAACCGAGAGTGGGTCTCAACTATTTTCCGATTGACTTTTGATGCAGACGCAATATATCATCTTTATGAAATCCGGTACATAAGTAATGCTGCAAAAGGAGAAGACGGAAAGAAACCAAAAAAGATTACAGAAATCTGGTATTCTTAGATTAACAAAATTTATGAAAAAGCCGGAGAATAAAAGAAGTTAGAGCATGGAAGAAAGTGGCACATGAAGCTAGAGTAGTATCTTTAGGAAAGGTGCAATACACACTGCATTTAGGTTTAGAGGAAGATGAGATGGCCACATAAAACAATGTGAGATAACTGTATACCAGTTGTAGGTTACGTCAGAGATAGCTATGGAAGTAGTATGTACATTGAAAGTATAATAGATGGCATGCCGAAGTTCGCAAATAGTAGTTTCGACATTTGAAAACCATCAAAGTGAATCATAGATCGGTGTAAAATAATGGGTAATAAGTTAGAGGCTTCTGTATGTTAAATGGTTGAGGCTACAGGGCTCTGTGTCAGGCAACCAGTGACCATAGTGACCAGATTGATGAATGAGGTCAATTTAGCACAGGAAGGAATAGGGGGAATTTGTCTTATATATCTTATATTCAAAATCCTCACATTTTCGTGCTTATTTTCTTATAAGCGAAAATATCATTTGAGCTCTGCAATAATTAATTTTTGTTTTTCCGATTTTTACCGATCTACGAGTGTGAAAAGATTGACGCAATTGAATTGCATCTTCTTCATTAGGAAGAGTGGGAAAATGGATGAATTAATTTACTATTTCCAGTACTACGGAAATTGGATACTGTTCAAAGTCCACAAGTTTTTGATGTACTCAGTGGCGACTTTTCAAAAATCCGTCAATTTCCCGTGGTCTGCGAGCAGATCACTATCATGTCTCCTAGCTGTTCTGCCGGTGCTCTTATACTGGAAGATGGAACTATTTACAATGGGGTTTTATTTGGTGCGAAAATTCCACAGTCTGGAGAAGTGGTTTTCCAAACAGGAATGGTGGGTTACATAGAGTCGTTGACTGACCCATCATATCATACCCAGTTGCTAGTACTGACTTACCCTTCGATTGGTAAGTATGAGATATCATTTTTAAACTTCAGGTAATTATGGTGTTCCATCGTATGCGGAGGTTGATGAATACTGTTTGCCAAAGTGGTTTGAATCAGGACGAGTGTATGCTCGGGGTCTTATTGTATCAGATATTTGTGAGGAGTTTTCTCATTTTGCAGCTGTCAAGTCGCTAAGTCAGTGGCTACATGAAAATAGTGTCACATGTATAAGCAGTATAGACACACGATCTTTGACTCTGAAGATTAGACAATATGGTGTGTAGTTTTCTTAGTAACTTAATTTCTCACTTTAAGGCACTCTCCTTGGAAAAATTGTTCCCGTTTCAGTTGATCCGGAGTCCATTGATTGGTATAATCCTTCGAAGCATAATTTAGTTGCGGAAGTCAGTCGGGACGAAATCCAGGTTTTCAATCCCGTTGGTGATATCCACATTGCTGCTCTTGATTGTGGAATGAAGTTAAACCAAATACGTTGCTTCGTTAAAAGAGGAGCAAAAGTAAGATTATTTCGATTAATTCTATAGACAATACTTGGGTTGTTAATGTGTAATATGCCGTATTGTTATTCAAGGTTGGACCACCCAGTTACCAGAGTCATCGAGTTCTCCAGTATAAGCGTAACTGTTTTGAGCAACATTGGAAGTGTGGATTCTCGAGTTGTTACAACTCCAAACACTTTCACTTTGATCTGCTGGTACATCCATTTACTGGACGGATCAGAAGGTATAGTGTTACATTGGCTGTTTTAGATTAATTTAGGTCAGAATTGCGTAATATAAGTATGGCTCTTTGCAGTGAATTTTATCAATGACGCCATCCACAGCTTGTCTGCTTTTGCACAGGCCTATCAGCTACTAAATTTACGCATTTAATTGTTTGCTGTAAAAAAATCCTGTGTTATCTATCCCTAAATGCTTTTTCAAGCTGCACTGTGAATTTGAAAGAAATTGGGTGCTATTGCTTAGGCACTTTTATTTGCTGGAACTAAGTTTACAGAACATCTCTCCAGGACTGCTACTATCCTAGTGCTCCAGATGCTAGCTGCTCGCGGCTGATGCTGGTATTAGTGTCGGAAAAGCAGTTTTAGGGGTATTAGCTGAATCTGATGGCGGTGTACAACTAATAACGCCTGCTGAATAGGGTGTATATCTTTTCTAGTCTCTGAACGAGGTTTATTTTACTGTTTTGCTTAAGTGAAAGGCGAGTCACATGCAAGTGACGACTGCGATGTTTAGGTAGCAGTAAATACGGGAATAAAATGCATCATACCATACGTCTGTAAAACGTTTCTGATAATATCAGCTGTAAGGGTGAGGTAAAGACTAGAAATCATTGGTTACTAAAGGCTTTAGTTGAGTTTCTTCTCTACACACCACTTGAATCCAAGGTGTGTTCCGTTTTGAAATCTCAGATAATCGCGGAAGTATGTTTTTCCCCTTATAGTTGCATCTTATAAGTATAAGGCAGTTGTTAACCCTACTTGTTTCTTGATTCTCTTGTATTTTACGTGAATGTAATGACTTTCATGTGTTGGTGTTTAGAGTAAAGATTGCAAGTTATCATTGCCTATTTTGTGTAGCATTATCACTGTTTGTGTCCGACAGTATTCATTTACCAACCATAAAATACTCAAAATTGAAATTTTGTCGTGTACTGTCGTTTTAATAGGTAGCTAGATTTGAAGATCTTTGGTGAAATTTCATGCATCATTTTGTTTGTCATGCAATATAATAAGGTCCAACGCACTCTCAAAGTTGTGTACTGTTATTTCTAGTACTGGTTTTGTTACACATACCAATTAATCTTGAGGCACTCTATTAAGAATATTTGATTTTAGGTGACAGTTTTACCATGGTCAGCCGATTTGTCAGGGACGGAGAAAGATTATGACGCATTGTTTATTACTAATGGTCCCGGAGATCCTGTTCAATGCAGAAGCGTTGTTAGTCAAATCCAAAAATGGATGACCACAAAAAAACCATTGTTTGGGATCTGTCTAGGTCATCAGTTGGTTGCTTTAGCATCTGGCTTCAAGACATACAAAATGAAGTATGGTAATAGAGGCCATAATCAACCATGCATTCACTTACCCACAGGACGCTGTTTTATAACCAGTCAGGTGAGCCTATTTCTTTCGTTTAGTACAAGTTAAGATATTTTATAAAGCTCATCAAAGTGTTTGACTTTTGCGTCGGTGGCACAGTGGTTAGGACTCTCGCCGACCATGCACATGGTCCGAGGTTCGATCCCCTGCCGACGCACACCTGATATCTATGGTCGGCCTGCGAATTTTGGGTTACCGATATCCATGCTGAAAATTCCATACTTGTACCAAAAATACAGTGTTGAATCAAGCTGTAATCCAAATTAAAAAATAAAATAAATTATATATGCCCATTTAACTCGTACTACGTCAAGTGATACTGTCCTATAGTCCGTCCTGTCCAACTCTATGACTGAGATATTTTGAATTAGATAGATATGAAGCGATTATCTGCTCTTGACCAAAGTCCTTCGTGTTAGGTGGAAATATATATTCAGTAACCATGAGGCTAATCAATCGCGAACGTGTTGCAGTTTTCTTCTTTGTTCCCTTCCCGATGATAGTTAACGAATACTGTTTGAACTTGTTAAGCATGCCTGTTTTCCTTCCAGATAAAGTTCTTTATCCGTTCTCTAATTATATCCTTTTTTCTTTTGATCTATGTTGTTTTATTATTATTGTGTGGCGCATCCTTCTTGGTGCCATACTTACCAAGTTTTTTATGCGTTTAAATAAACAAATAAATAAATGAGGCTAGGTATAGATTGTTATGCAAGGAGGGAAAAGTAGTCAATGGAGTTGTGAAGCACCATCAGCTGAGACGGTCATGGCATGTGTTTCTCATTCCAAGCCGGCAGCTTCCGTGATGAGCAATATTATGCGACGTCGACTTCTGTTGGAATAAGGATAAGAGGAGTCAAACAAAAGTGTGGCACTAATCTATGTACCTGAATTCTGGGCTAACAAAAATGATCGATGCCTATACAAACTGACGCAAGCACAGGAGAACTTATGAAGATAGCCATTCACAACCAAGATTACTAGTAGGGATAAATATATCATTCATCAAGAATTCCAAAAAGTTCACCTCACTAGTTTTTTACTTGTGAAGTTGAATATATTGTACTTTTATTAACATACCTGCGCCTAGGTAGTTGTGATTGAGTCAAATTAGTTTGTCGGAGTCATATTTAGTTATGGTTATTCGTTCTCAACATTCAAACTAGTTTATATTGTTTCTACTTTTCAGTGAAGCGCAGGTGGCAGCCGATCTTACACTAAAAGGTTCTGTTGCTTTCATCTCTGATTTGTTTGAGGCCTTAGTCTAGCCTTACGGTGCCACACACATTGTTAATGCTTTATACCTTTTAGTACTTCCTCATCTATACCAAAGTGTAAGTGATATCGTCAATATAAAACTTCCCTATACTCACAGTTAAATTATAATGGTTTAGGATCACTCATCTATGTTAAAATTAATGCCAAGGTTTAACTGATGAACTTGGATGATTGTATTTAGCTATCCAAAAGTGGTTACCAAGGTTTGATTCACGAAGGAAAAATCCCATGCAGGATTCTGTCGATCATTTCAAGAGCATGTTGACATTTTAGGATAAGCAACCAGTATTCTATATAATTTGCTAGTTTTCAATGAGGGTCATATCTAATCATAAATTTGCTGAGGAACCCAGCAGGCATTCAGTGTATTTTGTGGTTTTGAAATATATTGTATAATGTTTAGTCAAATGTAGGGGTGATAACGTTTGGCTCATTTTAACATCCATCCATGAGTAGTTTAAAGTTTAGAGACTATATTTCATCTAATAGCCATGAAAACTTATTGAATGTAGTGTATTTCATTATCTTTCTACCTTTTCTTCTTTCTTTCTTTTATTTTTGGAAGAATCATGGATATGCAGTTGATACTAAAACTATCTCAGATGGTTGGTATGAACTTTTTCAAAATAAAAATGATCACTCAAATGAAGGTCTCGCTCATCACATTCACCCCTGGATGACAGTTCAATTTCATCCTGAACATATGGCAGGACCAATTGACTTAGAGTTCCTCTTCGATGTTTTTGTAAACTACGTAAGTTTTTGAAACCTCAGATGATACATTCCGTAAATTCATTTGTTCTGCTGGTATGTCAAAATTTGAATTTATATTTTCATTTCTATCATTATTCAAGGTCAGGTCACCTAATGGTGAAACTTTAAGCGATCGTTTGACAGAACATATGATTTATGTCCAAGAACCATTCGAGAAGATACTTTGCGGTAAAGATAACAAACCAAGGAAGGTCCTCCTTCTTGGTTCTGGTGGCTTGTCGATTGGTCAGGCAGGAGAATTCGACTATTCTGGCAGTCAGGCGCTCAAGGCACTGCGAGAAGAAGGAATTCAAACACTGTTAGTTAATCCAAACATTGCTACTGTACAGACTACCGAAGGAATGGCTGACAAGGTTAGTTAGATATTAAACATTTCTAGTTTGTTTGTCGATGTATGTGACCCAAAGCTAACAAATTATATATGTGTATATATTGTAGGGATTTCTGTTATTTTATTAGCATTATATAGCATCTAATCTGGTTGATCGTAAAAAATTCTAAGTATAATTCTAATTTTAATGTAATATCAGTTCATCTTACGTTGCTTGCACGTACGTGATAACATTTAACTGATGGAATACACTGTAATCTACGGCTTGCGATTGTTGTTTGTCAAATGTTCCTTTAGGGTTTATTTTTATAGACTGTTTAAACATGTCATATCACACATTATGATCTGAATAATTTTAATTTTCAAAAGTGAGTTATGTACAACTAATCATCTCAGTCAGTCAGTAGTACATTGCTTTTGTGCAAATATGCTTCTCTTGATTACCAGTTTAGGTATCAAGCAGATCACATATTGTGTTGTGAGATATCAGTAGTGGGTGTTTTTCTACATTAAAATGCTTCGTTAGCATACTTATTATGAACTTACTCCAATGGTATACATCATAACTGGTATTATTACACTATATATGATGTTTACGACATAAAACAGCAAGGTATGCATACCAGTGATATTATTGACAGTGTCATCACTGCTACTTATGATCGAGTACGGTTAACTTTCATGATGAAGTTAGCTGCTGCGTGAATGGTTGCGGGTTATGTACAAGCCGCTCTAAAATCACTTAATACACCGTATGAGTTTAATGATTATTTTGAGACGTAATCACTGATACACATGATCCAACAGCTTATCAGTCGAGGATATCTCCTCCACACTCGTCATTCTACGGCTTTTATCCCGGACTGAGCCTGTGCTAAAACCAGTCCTCCTCATGAATTCATCTCGTGCTCTAGTTATTGGTAAGTGGTGGTCATGATTTACAAGTAGAATATTTGCGTTTATTAACTAACAATGTACTCCAACAGCTATTGAAATGAAGGTAATCTAACTAGTTTTTCACCAAAACCAGCGATCACTAGTAAGTATTACGTATATACATGTAACCCTCTCAATAGTTGTCGGTACTAATAATCAAACCAGATCTCGACCCAATACATAAAGGAGTAGTAATGTCTCAAATAACACTGGGTTCTGAGTATCACAATGACGACCATGAAAACGAAGTCAGCCAAGTGAAATAGTCAGACATTGAGTTTTGAGTATATCTCTTGTCGTTACTCATTTTCATTTTACCACACAGTTGACAGTTCCATCCAACTGCACCAACTCCAATGATGTGGATTTAAATCTTTCAGGAATCACTCATATCCGCATGTTATTTAAATGCCAAAGACATTTCAGTGATTAGGGATATTTACATTTATGGGCTAGTAGTCATATCGTCGTGCGTCGGTGGCATAGCGGTTAGGACGCTCGCCGACCATGCACATGGTCCGGGGTTCGATCCCCGGCCGACGCACTCCTTTACCTCGCTAATTCGGAGATAATGCTGGTAAAGAGGAAAGGCTGAGCATGAGGCTAGCAACCCCATCCTGTAAAATGAATACTGCTGTAGAAACTTCAAGCCAGTAGCTTGAATCCCTATGTTCCACTGGGGAACGTGAAGGAAAAAAAATCATAACTTCACTGTCATTATCGCACGTGATTGTCACCGATCTTCCACCTAACTCTGGGAAAATTGTCAGTTTTTTCACATCACTCAGAAAAGAAATGATGAAAACTTTGTTACTTATATTACTATATGACGACTGATGAGTATTACTAGACCAGTTTCTGATCTATGTTCGCCTTCTTATTTAGGTTTTCAACATATAGGGAATGCCATCAGTTCTTTGAAGTTTGCCTGCATACAGACACTTCATTGGAACATCTCAGCTTTAATTAGCTGAGAAGCTTCATACTCAACCTGACGTCTTTTTGTCGTTTATACGGTGACGTTAAAAGTGATTGTCCTAGTGTCTTCAGCAAGACATCCACATACACTTTGTATAATCACACAATATTTCTGTTGTTAGATACTGAAAGAAATTTTGTTCACGGCCTTTTATCATACGATTTACCATACTTTATCAAAAACTTTTACTTCCTTTGCAATTTTACCGGTCTCCCAATTATTTTCAATGCTTTCTGAATGTGTTCTTACTGTCTTCAAGTATCTGTTTATTCATTAGCTCATACTCTACTCACTTAGACTTTATGTTCCTGCTGAACTAACATTTCGGTAGAATAAAATCAGTTAGAATAAAAATCAAATAATGGTTTTGACAAATAAATGGAACTTCTTTTTTACATAGAATACATCTTATTGTATTCTTATTTTGTTATAACTGATTTAAGTATTATGAAAGCGTATCAGAAATGGCAAATAAAATCTTATAATTATAATTATTTCAAGCATCGTAGATTAACGTAACGTGCATATGTGATAAAATCAACTAATAGATTTAACCAATATAATAAAAAATGGCAAAAGTGTTAGCCCGAATAGAAATACAAATTAAAATTCATGAATAAAATTTGATAATTGTAAATTTAGATGTATGCCTTTTTTATTTGTACTAAATCTTGATAATAATTTCACTACAGATTATTTACTATTTCATATTATGACAGACATTTCTTCTGCCTGTTGCACCTGACGCTGTTGCTCGCATCATAAAAGCTGAAAGGCCTGATGGACTTCTGATTTCTTTTGGTGGTCAAACTAGTCTAACATGTGGTCTCACACTGACTAAAACAAGTTCAAGTTATCTAATTCCAGATCTTAAAGATGAACATTCAAAGGCTCAAAATGTACTGGACTTATATAATTGTCGAATTTTGGGTACACCGACGTCGTCAGTTGAAATAACAGAAAATAGAGAATTGTTTGCCTCAGCTATGCGTGCAATAGGTGAAAAAGTTGCTCCGGCCGATGCAGCGACTACACTAAAGGTTCGTTTAATGTTTCTGTTTCGCCCTTATAAAATCAGTATGTGAACTTTTAATCCGTAATAAAGCAGTTTTTTTGTATCGTCTATAATTTTATAGGAGGCTATCACGGTGGCCAATAAACTTGGCTATCCAGTTCTTGTACGGGCAGCCTTTGCATTAGGTGGTATGGGATCTGGGTTTGCTGAAAATGCTGTTGAACTGGAACGATTGGTTACAAGGGCTTTGGCACAGACAACTCAAATTTTCATTGATAAATCTCTGAAGGGATGGAAAGAAGTTGAGTATGAGGTTAGTTTTCTTTTTCTGTTTAAAGTTAATGAATAGGAAAGGATATTAATAAGCGTTCATATTTGCATTCAATTTAACACCGGCTAATAATTCGAATTTTGTCTTACTTTTAGGTTATACGTGATGCTTATGACAACTGTATCACAGTTTGTAACATGGAGAACGTTGACCCAGTGGGCATCCACACAGGAGAATCTATTGTTGTCTCACCAAGTCAAACACTTTCAAATGTTGAGTATTATATGCTGCGATCTGTTGCAATCAAGGTGAGTAGTATTCCTCATTGAAATATTTGGATGTTGAAGAAGTCGTTCTTTGCTAATTTTACCATATAATATACGTTCTTGTTGTACCTGAATTAACATCTGATAGAGCTTTTTCTTTATTAGTTTGATTATTAAATGTATCACACAGTGAAACAGTATTGTATACTGGATGACGTTTCGAACACAATTTATTGTTCATAATCATATCAATTTTTGTCACACGACTTCGAGATTTGATTTTTATAGTTTTCTCTGTCTTCTCCTATTTGTTGTATGGGCAGTAGAATTTTCCATATATCTGGGACAGGTGTTGAATCATTCCTATTACATGTATTTGCAGTTGATTCGATAAACAAAGCTTCTGTTATCAATCTCTCCCTATACCCTGTGACATTAGATTTTAAAACTGTCATCCTATCCCATCCTATTGTATGGTTGTGTGTAACTGCATGTAGTGCTATAGCTGAACTATTCTCTAGATTTCTTATCTTATTCGGGTCAACCAATCTAGATTTAGCTAGGTTTTTATGTTCGGCTAGTCTGACTGCCCCTGTTCTACTAGTTTGACCTATGTATTTGACCTCACAATCATTGCAGGGTATTAGATAAACTAAATTGTTTTGTTTTAATGGCTCTACAGGATCCTTTAACCGACAAAGCTTGTTTCTAATTGAGTTTGTGGGTTTGAATGCCACTTTTATTCCTGCCTTGTTAAGAATTCTGCGTAAGGCTTCCGAGGTTCCTTCTTTGTATGGAATTATTGTTGATGATTTACATTCCTTATTGTTGGTGTCGTTATTAATATTATCATTATTATTATTATCACTATTGTTATTACCATTATTATTATTATTGTTATTATTATTATTGTTATCATTATTATTATTATCACTATCTCTGTTATCATTATTTATTTTATTTTTACATTTACTTACATATTTCTTGATTAATTTATCCGGGTAATTATTAAGTTTCAAGGCTTCTTTTATGTGTGTCACTTCCTGTCTTAGATTTTCCTTGGTACTACTTAGTTTTTGTGCTCTGTCATTTAAACATTTCACTAATCCTATTTTTACTGACATAGGATGGGATGATCGGAAATCCAAATATCTGTTTGAATGTGTGGGTTTTCTGTAAACACTAGTGTTTAGCTTCCCATCTTCTTTCCTTTTAACGTTGCAATCTAACATTGGAAGTTCCCCTTCCTGACTTTCCAATTCATAAGTGAATTGAATTGCCTCTACCTTTGAGTTGATGTGCTCGAAAAATCTATTTATATCTTGTGTTCTAAGTACAGTGAATGTGTCATCTACATACCTCCACCATACTTTTGGGGTGGGGGTGAACGTTTCAATCGCCATCTTTTCTACTGCCCATACAACAAATAGGAGAAGACAGAGAAAACTATAAAAATCAAATCTCGAAGTCGTGTGACAAAAATTGATATGATTATGAACAATAAATTGTGTTCGAAACGTCATCCAGTATACAATACTGTTTCACTGTGTGATACATTTAATAATCAAACTAATATGGAATTACTTAATACCACAGTGCCCAAGTTTTACACATATATTAAGAGCTTTTTCTCATTTCTCTATAAATCCATTTTATGTCAAGTTTTTCTCATGAATGACATCAGTAATTTTCTGTCATGTTTTTTTTCTTTAAACTTAGGTTGCTCGTCATCTGCGGATTGTTGGGGAGTGTAATATCCAGTTTGCACTAGATCCACTTTCTCTGAACTACTACATAATTGAAGTGAATGCACGACTTTCTAGAAGTTCTGCTCTTGCCAGTAAAGCTACAGGTTATCCTATAGCTTATATAGCTGCCAAGCTAAGCTTAGGCATGAGTCTACCAGAATTAACGAATAGTGTAACAGGTGGTCAAACTACGGCTTGCTTTGAGCCAAGTTTAGATTATTGCGTTGTAAAAATTCCACGCTGGGATTTAAGCAAATTTTCCAGAGTAAGTTTAGATGTAATAAACCTATGTACTTTTTAGTTTTACAGATAAGGAAAACTTATTTTTCCTTTCTAACTAGGTTAATAAATTATTTTCTTAAGTCATGATTTCTCTTCTTTTTGCATTTGAAGAAGTGAATACATTAGCAACACTGCAGTTCTTGAATAATCTGTTGCTTTCACTTACTGCTAAAGCGGTGTATTTTCGCTATCAACTATCAGCTACTGGGATTATGTATTTACACCTATCCATTTCTAATCGTTTATTTGCAAAATAAATTATATCACCTTGGGTTGCGAGTATAACACAGGGCTTCGGTTGCACATTTCCATTTCATTCTGTTCTTCGCAGTCCTTTTTTAGCTGGCTTCACGGTTACCCATAAGCTTCCAGCTCCTCGACGTCACTCTGGGACGTCCAACTCGTCATTTCTCATCCGGGTTTCACTTGAGGGTCTGCCTGACATGTCATGTCATTCACCGGTCTACTCTGTGCTTGTCCAATTCATATCCGTTCCCTCCTGCATATTTGTTGGGCAACTGGTTCTTGGTTGGTTCATTGCCAAAATAAACTGCATAAAGTTTGCTCTTATAACATTTGAAATGTTTATTTTACATCAGGTGGACAGAATGTTCTATTGTTTTGGTTAGTGGTGAGTAGCAGTGCACTTCGTCCTACTCGGGACTCGTCAGATGGGTGTTCTTGCATTCCCAATGAGTGATAATGGTGTTCCTGCTGGGACTCGAATCATACACCAATCGTTCAAACTCCAAAGCTCTATCCATGAGGCCACAAGGGTCACTGCTAGTCACTACCAATCAAAACAGCTTCATGTTAATCCTTTGATATCGTCAAACCGTCTCTACTAAGAGCCGATATGTCAACAGAGAACGAGCATTTCTATCCAACATAATCAATAGTCAGTGGAAAATGCAAAACCAAACTACAATATTCTTTTGACAAACTAATTTTTATACTCTTTATTAGTGTAATCAAGTTAAGTATCTCTTTTATAATTGTCTAGTTTACTTAAGGGTTCGGTAGAAATTATCTTAAAAACGTTCAAAACACAGTTGGATGAATAAAAATACAGTGCTTTCTTTTTCTAAAATCTTAGTGCAATCTTTTATCTTCAAACAAAGAGCAGTGTTTTTTTTCGTTGTTAAAATATTCACATTCGGCTATCATGCACTGACTGCATAGTTATGACTTTAAGCAAACTTAATAATCATAAACAATAGAAACTGTGTTCACATTACATTCTTTTTGTATTGACCCCATATATTGATATGTATGTTACTTTAGAAGATTTAAACTTGAATAAAAAATCACATTTTTTAAACTTTTATTTAAAATGGAATGAAATTATAATACAGACTATGCTATTTGGTAGACGGTAGCTGGCAGTGGAATCCAGAATCTGCCTTTCGTCTTATTTATGTCTCGTCACCTTGAGTCTGCACAAGATGTGGCCCTCGTGGCTCAAAGGATCTAGTGGATAACGCTTCGGAGTTTGGAATGAAAGGTACTGGGTTTGTGTCTCAGCGGGAATACTATCACTCGCTGGAGATTGCAGGTGCATGCACATAACGAGCCACAAACAGGACGAAATGCACATCTTGGATTCTGCCACTAGTTATCAGGTATCAAATAACATCAGTATAAATTCTTAAACATCGTCGAAGCGTCCATACTAGAGCTGACATGTCAACAGAAGCTGGAAATTCCTGTTCAATCAAACAACGGGGAAAACAAAAACTGACCTAAACAAAATAATACGGACCAATCGATATAATGCCCCGAATAGGCACTATTTTTATTTGGGTATTGTGTATGTGTATTTATGTTAGTAACGTTTTGTAGTTTTCTATGTCAATGAATTAGATTTTATTTTTTGTTGAAGAGATTAAGTTTTTCTTTATTGATCCCAGTCGCTTATATATTTTACAAAAATTTCTCCTCGTCAGTCGAATCCTATTTGACTGGCCGACTAACTGGGTTTTGACATAGGAATTCGCACAGAAGTGCAATAGTTCAAGTTGCCACACCCCATATGTCACGCAAAGATAGACAAAAAAGAACAAAAGAAAGTTTCAAAAGTACTGTAATAACCAGAAGTGTACGGGAGGCAGAAAGGCAAGACGAAAAAATATGAGGATGTAAAAGATGGCAAAAACAGAATTCATCTGTGCCAGTGGGAAAGATTTTGAGCCACACCAACCAACGGTCTTCAACTGTTCGACCCTAACAACTGGATCGTTCCAAAAAATACATCAAATTATTCGCCTGTCATCTTAGATTTAGACCATTATTGTTTGTCTTTTGTTATGAGTGGATATGCAACTAGTGGGGGATCTGTTCACGTCTTTGTTCTTTGACGAGTGTTTGTGTACAAATGTACGTTTCAAGAATGGCCGTAATGTTTTTTGGCAGTATACCTGTAAGCAGTTTTACTATGGGCCTACGAAACTTCATCACTTTGATGATAATGGTGCTTATCACTTTATTGTTGGTGTTTAGTCACACATTATTGTACACTGGTAATTTACGTACTTTAGTCCACATTATTTTGTTTGTTAAATACATCACTCGATAAACGTCTTGAAAACAATTTATTGTTCATGATCATGTCAAATGGGTAACAATAAGTTGTTTTAAAACTTAATGTAATCAGTAATGTTGTTTCATCGGGCAATAAATCTAAAACATCAAATATTATATAAATTTTTACTACTACAACAGTGTCCACTTTTGTGAGTACTCTCTAATTCCATTTTCAAATGACAAAATTTTCTTGCAAAGTCAACATTAATGGTTTCAACTTATCTCATTCATAACATCCCTGCAAGTTTCATATCCAGTGGTATCAGTAGATGCTTAAAGTTGTTGAAAGTGAAGAAAATTGTCGTCTCCAAATAAACTATTATAAAGTAGAAGCAATTGTTAATGCATACTAACTTCCTGGTAACAGTCTCAAAGTAGCGTTCCGATAAAACGAAATGATTGTAATCATTAGAGATGTGATTTTGATGTAACGTTATTTTGCAGTAAACGGCATGAGATCATTTAAGACAAAATACACGTAGTCGAGATATCTTTAAAAGTTGGCTTTATACACTTACATTTCATGATATCTGCATATCTGGCATAAGTTCTACTGGCAACTTTGTTTCATTGCAAAAATGGTATCCGGTGATTAGTAATCTTTTTTTCAAATAATTTGAAGGTTAGTCGAAAAATTGGGAGTTCTATGAAGAGTGTTGGTGAAGTTATGGCTATAGCACGGTGTTTTGAAGAAGCTTTACAAAAAGCTCTTAGAATGACAAATGAAAGCATTACTGGATTTGATGGTTTACTAGAAGATCCTACTGATGATGCCTTATCTGAGCCAACCGATCGTCGAATTTATACATTAGCTGCAGCTCTACGTTTAGGTTGGTCAATTGACCGTCTGCACTCACTTACTGCTATCGATAAATGGTTTTTATATCGCATGCAATCTATTACTAATTGTGCGAAAGAATTAGAATTGGTGAGATTTAAACTGATTTTATTTGGTTTCATAAATTTGACTTTTCTTTGTTGTTTTTTGTTATCCAATCACATAAGCGGGCGAATGTTTACAGTTTTTCCACCACTTAGTTTGTTAAATTACTTAAAGTTACGAGATGACTGTGTGTAATAACTGTAAATATGTGGGATATTTAGGTCCTCCATCTTAGTTTACTATCTTTATTAATTCTTATTGTTGAGTAAATCTGTATAAAACGTAGCTTTTTCATTCCTTTCGTTCCGAGTGGAACATGAACTTTGAAATTGCAGTAGTAAGTGATGTTGTTTTTACAGAGTGGGTTCGCTATGCTCACTTTTAACGTGCATTATTTTTGGGGTTACTAATAGCTAGGGAAGCAGTCAAACTCGGACGTCGAGCGTGGCTGGCGACAATTCTACTATTGAACCAGAAATGTGCAAATTGCAGTTTATTTGGCAATTGTTAGCTGGATGTACAGATGATATTGTTCCAGCTGGGACTGGAACCTAGCATCCCTCCTTTCACACATTGAGATGTTATCCAGTAGACCACTGAAGCAAAAATGTAGCATTTTATTTTATTTATTATTTACTTTATTATCGATTTCAGTTCTGTGACGGTGCCTTTGGTAATGACATGAAGGTATTAGAGTCAATACAAACAACTATTCCTGATAGAGTGTCTTTTGATACTTTAATTCGGCATTCTGAAAAAGTTATGACTGCCAAACGTCTCGGTTATAGTGATTCTCAGTTGGCTCGCGCTTTGCGTTCAACAGCTGTTATGGTTCGTTTGTTTCGTCGACATCTAAATTTGAATCCATTGGTTCGTTTAGTTGATACTGTTTCAGGTGAATGGCCTGCGTATACAAATTACCTTTACACAACGTATGCAGATGTCCCACTAGGCAACATCCATTACTTGATAAAATCTTTTATTGACAGTGAGGAGGAAAAACCAGTACAACAGGAAGCGATAGATCTTTTGTTGAGGTGTATGAATGTAAATAAAGTACATGATGTATCATTTGAACCAAAGTGTAAGTCTGTTTCCTATGCAAATTAGTAAAAGTTCCTTTTTTATATGTTTGCGTTAGCACTAATTAATTCTTAACAGTGTATGACTAGGCGAATGAGGACCATTATATTATATATATATTCTTTATGCGAACTGAAGGAACACATATAGAATGTTTTTTTCTTTTACTAGTTATGTTTAATGGTCAGTTGTTTTTCATAATAAAAAGGTTTAATTGGTAAATTTTTTAACTTCAATTTTGAAGTGGCTTTCACCTTGTTTATTTTTTAATACATGTGAGCAACAGAATATGGTGATAAAATACACTTAAAAGATGTAATTTAACGCTATCAGAAACTATATTTGCTGCTGAGTCAATGATGATACTTTCAAGAATTTTCCATAAAGAATATTCTGCTTGTCCTATCAAAAATCCTTTGGTAATCATTGTTTTTTCCATCCCTTCGCTTTCCGACTGGAACATAAGGCTTCAAGATTGGGCTTAGAACTTTCATTTTCATGGGGTGGGCTTGCGAGTCGCACACTCGGTCTTCCGTCTTTACCCGGCTTACTACGGTTATGGGAGTTCTTCAGCTGGAAGTCTGAATTTGGACCGCGTGCGTGGAAGGCGATCATTCCTCCACTGAAACACCGACACTGGTTACCAGTTTACAGTGTTAATTACATTTAGTTTGCCTGAAAATTATATTTCAATAACGTACTGAGTGGCATTAATAAGTTGTAATGTAATAGTTGTATTGCCATTCACAAGTCACAATTTCATTTCGCCTCAACTTCAGCAAGTATCCATCAATTAGACACTGTTTAAATTCCAGCAATCAGATGTTGTTAGATGGTGTTAGTGATTGTAAGACAGTTTACCAACCGGCATATCACACTAACTGTTCAAGACTGATGACCAGACAACCGTTTCGTCCTTAGTTCGGGCTCTTCACTAGTGTGCACCCGCGATCTTGCGCCCAGGGATCGAACCCAGGACCTTCAGGTTACAAGATGAGCTCGTAAACCATTCAGTCACTGGTAACGAATCCACTGGTCCACCAACTCTACTTCCTCCAGTTGGTGACATGTAGCGCGACCGCCAGGTGGTGTCGTTGGTGAGTGATTGTCCCACACCCAACTTAGTAGGCCCACTGGTCATCACTTCTCACTAGAACTTCAGGTTAAACTGATCACGCGATTAGAACTGTAACTGATGAGCCTATCTGACAGTTAAAATGAGGAATATGGTGTACTTTTAATGGTCGATATTATTGAAATTATTTACGAACGATAAACTGAATCTAACGTTCAATATTTACTACTTGTAAACATTATGTTTCTTCCCACCAATATTTTTTCTACAACTGATATCGCAATCATTGGCAATGAATTTGACGTCGCTTCCTATACTGACGGATCTCTATACAGTTAGAGCTTAAGAATTCTTCATCGTATCCTGTATGTCTGACTGACTGGTGTTCCTTCACCAACCTCTCTGTCGCTGCCGTAAGCCACTTTTGTCCAACACCGATTTCGCCTTTAGCTCGTACGCACCAACCAGCTCTACAGTATCCCGAAAAGCTCTCAAGAAGGTCATCACATAATCACCGTCTGACCCATATAGCAATCGTACTCTTATTGAACCTAATTAGCCTAGACTCCTGATACTCAACTAATCTGGTGTAGGTTGGTGCTTCGCCCCAATTATCAACGTGTAAGCGCCCAGACAGTATCATCACCCTTTGCACAGTAGGTTTGCCTCATTACCAAATGCATGTAAACCATAGTGATAGTTGTGTAACGTAACCGTGGCACAGTGGCAACCTGCGTCGGTGGCACAGTGGTTAGGACTCTCGCTGACCATGCACATAGTCCGGGGTTCGAGCCCACGCCGACGCACACCTGATATCTATGGTCGGCCTGCGAATTTTGGGCTACCGATATCCACGCTGAAAATTCCACACTTGTACCAAAAATACGGTGTGGAGTCAAGCTGTAATCAAAAAAATAAATAAAAAATAATGGTACCGTCGTCGTGCCCTCAGGGATTGTCACGCTGTAAAACCAATGCACTTTTATGAGAATACATTACAATGTACATCAGTGAAATACTAAACCTTTCATTCAGCCAACTGTTTGCAAATAATATCACCCATTCTGCATTTGAAATCTGGTTTTAATTTATCGTTTGTTGCTTGTTCGATTCTCCTTAGTATTACCATTCTCTGTATCCCGTTTCTTCCTCTTTAGCAGTTTAATATAAATTACCATTATATATATATATATATATATATATATATATATATATATATATATACTATTTTTAAAATCATTAATGCTTTCTACAGCTAGCATCATGGTCCTGGGGTCTGGAGTATATCGTATAGGCTCTAGTGTGGAGTTTGATTGGTGCGCAGTAGGTTGTGTTAGAGAGCTTCGTCGTTTGGGATGGAAAACTGTTATAGTCAACTGCAATCCAGAGACTGTGTCAACTGATTTCGATATGTGTGATCGACTGTATTTCGACGAATTGTCACTTGAACGGGTACTTGATATATATGAGTAAGTTTTGGAGATATTTATATTCATTTTCCAAACATTTTAGTTGAATCAGAGCTGCTTGAATTAAGAAAATTATTATTACAGAGTAGGATAAAAACGACGGTTTTTTACTCTCTCAGCTTGATAATATCATAATTACTGATAAGATCACTCATTCTAATGACACAATGGAACTTCAAAGCTCTTAAATGACTATGCAGTGGTCAAAATGACTGTTAGTAGCACACTTCAAAGGATACTGTTTCATTGATGAAAAACACTGACAATCTATCTGGAAAAATATCTCCATTGAAGGCTATATAAATCCAATCCATACTATAAGTATTTTCCTATTTCTTTCTTTCATTTGTCCTGAGAAAATTTTGTGTGACTACAGTTACAAAATAGTGTTATTTCTTACACGATGGTAGATTTCCTTAATTTTGCTAACTTTGGTTCGGTATAGTTCAATCAACTTTCTGTTGGCATTTGTGATCTCCAAAAAATTTTTGAAATCAGATAATGTGGTGGATACAAATGGTAAGAACACTTTTAACTAGAATGTATTGCAACCTCTTCAGTTCAAGACATGAGAATATACGACCGGTTAACACTACTCCTGATGAGAAAAGCGACCAATGTTAGTTAGAGATTCTAAAAGCAACCGAATTAAGTGGAAATGTTATAGGAACGGAGACATGACAGATCTATGTGAAAAAGTGTTTAATAAAAAACTAGATCATAGCATTTTGTATGGATTTAGGTTAATTTCAATGTAGATATGTATCGTCACAAACCGACATCATTTAGAGATCACTGTAAAGCAGGGAGCACTGGACAAGTTGTTTCGTTCTAGTTCGATCCCTGGTGGAGTTGTGGGTGCCCACCACCAAATAGTCTCGAAGTATTTAGAAATAGCTAATTAGTGCTTTGTAGTTTTCAATGGTCTCTCTGCTTGTTGCTTGAATGTGACGAAATATACATTGAAATTAATAAAAGACTATTATTTTATCAGTACTATATGTATTTTAAGAAATAAATAATTTTCCAACCGCCTCATTGCACTTAGGCTAGATTAAATATTATATATATATATATATATATATATATATATATATATATATATATATATATAATACATAGAGGTTAAGAACTATGCCTACAATTTTCCAGTCCATCATGCTAATTTTATTGAAGTTGTTGTTTTCCAGTGAATAAGCACTTTAATATTGGCGAAGAAAAACTTAACTGAAGTGCAAACTACCTAAACTAACACAAAAATATAGGTATTTAAACATTTAAATCATTTTCTTGTTTTTCCCGTTCAATTATTGGACGGAAATTTTCGGCCTCTGTAGCTTATCGTTTTTCTCAAGCCTCATACTCCTTGCACAATAAATAGATGATTCGGATGATTCATCAGTTTAGTGGATAACGCTTTACCACTTGAAACGATGAGTGCTGGGTTCGTATCTCAGCGGGAATACTATCACTCATTGGGGACTGCAGATACATCCAGAAGACGTGTCACAAAAAGGACGAAGTGTGCCTCCTGGTTTCCACTGCTAATCACCATCCAACAAACATTAATCAGACAAGTTTGACATGTTATGATCCATTATTTTTACTGAGAAATAGCAGCTTTCGTGCATACTTCAAAAGTCGATAGATTAGTAATATAGCATGTTTTATATTACTTATATCAAAAATGTTACCAAAACATATATGGTGGTTTTGATCGAAAATTTCTATTTCGCTTATAGATTCGAATGTCCAATCGGAGTTATCGTAAGTATGGGTGGACAAACACCAAATAATATTGCCATGCCAATGCATCGTCTAGGTGTACCTATTCTTGGTACAAGTGCTGAATCTATTGATAATGCTGAGAATCGTTTCAAATTTTCTCGTCTGTTAGACTGTATGGGAATATCTCAACCCAAATGGAAGGAGTTAACTGATGTAGAATCAGCTAAAGCTTTCTGCGAGGAAGTGAGTGTCCCATTTTTACCCACGTTGTCTTCAATTCTTATTTGTTCCTAATCTGCTTAACTCATTATTTAAACAGACAGCAATGTGACCATATTCCTGAGTAAATTTGTTTGAGAATTTCTGGAAATTTCTTTTGAAGCAACTGACTATTCTGTGAAACTCATGCATACATACATCAAGATCCTGAGGGAGAAATAGTATATTAATAATCAGTCGTGTATTTTCTCATTATCGCATTTGTAGAAAGAGAAGTTATAGTTGTGAATATTATTTTACTTTATCATGTTGACCTACTTACCAATAACTTAAACTCTGCTCAAAAGTAGTGGACCATTTTAAAACATAATCTGAATCAAATAATAACAACATTTACTAAACCTCATTTCGGCAATATTCTGTGTATGAAAAAAAGGCTTTGTATACTGTATCCTATAAATAACTGGCACCAAAATACGTGTATTTACCGCACTTATAACTGCTGCCTTGGCATATGGTGCTCCGGCTTGTTTACCTGTCTGTCTGTTTTCGACATAGAACTTTGCACAAATGTGCGGAAGTTCAAGTCGCCACATTCCGTGTAGCACGCGAAGCAAGAGAAGAAAGTACAAGAAAAGCATAATAGAGACAGTGAGCAGAGGTTTGAGACAAAGGAATAGTAATAACGAAGAACAAAACAGTTTCATTGGAAATCATAAGTCACAAGGAGTGGATGCATCTGCGCCACTGAGAACGATTTTGAGCCATGTCACCAATTGTTTCCAACCATAGATTTTTACCGTCCCGAGCACCCCAGCCTGGAAGTCTACACCTTCCAACGTGGCTTAGACCAACTGTTGTGGATTTCACTGACTGGTATCAAGTTTTTGTTTGACCGCCGCCAGCTTTTTTACAGCCTGACCCTATATCAGCTAACATTGCTCGTCGAGGGAGGCGATGGCTTGGCATACGTAACACATGTCCTAACCATCTCAGTCTTTGTAGCTTCACGACTTCGTCGATTGATTTCCCCTGTTTACCTAGAACTCTACGCCTAACCTCAATGTTACTCACCTTATTATGCCACTTTACACGGGAAATAGAGCGCAGGCACCTATGATCAAAGACAGCTAGTCTTTTCATGTCTTCCACTCTCAGTGACCAGGTCTCACAACCATAAAGGAGGACGGGGCGGACTGATGAGCAGTACACCCGCCCTTTGGTCGATAGTCGAACATCTCGTCTACGCCAGAGTCGGCGTAAACTAACAAATGCGAAACGAACCCCTTGTATTCGTGCTGAGATTTCGTCAGAGATCAGCCCGTTGGGGCTGATGTTACTTCCCAAATAAGTGAAGCGGTCAACGTGCTCTACCACTTCACTTCCTATTTTTAAACTAGGCGTCGATGTAGTCCAGTCCTTTAACATCATCTTGCATTTGGCGGGAGCTAATCGCATGCCAAACATTCGTAGATTGCGACTCAAGGTGTTTAGAAGACTCTGCATTTCGTCAGAGTCTTCGCCTAGAAGGACTATATCGTCTGCATATTCCAAGTCAACGAGATTATTCCCTGGTAGCAAGTCAATCCCTGAGTCGCTGAAGTCACCTAGGGTTAAGTCCATTAACACATCTATGATGAAGTTGAATAGAAAAGGAGATAATGGGCATCCTTGACGGACACCACTGGTCGTCACCGGTTCAGATGACAACTCGCCGTAAGCCCTCACCTGGCTGTATGAGTACGAGTAGAGTGCCTTAATCAGTGCAATATATTTTCTTGGAATTCCCTTTACAGCCAAACATCGCCAGAGTACCTCCCGGTCGACAGAATCGAATTCCGCCTTTAGGTCAAGAAATATAATGACTGTTGGACGCCGGTAGGAATGTCTATGTTCTAGAATCTGTCGGAGGGTGAAGATATGATCAATACCTCAATAATTCAACCAGCCACACTAGCTGGATCTAATGTTCATGCAGGTGCTACCATATCGGGAAGGTCGTTTTAGATAGCGGTTAGACTGACTAACTGGTTTCAACGTAAGACTTCGCAGAGATGTGCAGCGGTCCCAGTTGCCACACCTCATGTAGCCCACAAAGCAAGAGGAAGTAAAGAAAGATTCAAAAAAGAGATGATAAACAGAGATATGAGGCAAAAAATTGTAATATGGAAGAACAATATTATTTTATTGAGTATTATAAATCATAAAGAATGAGTGCATCTGTGCCACTCAGAATAATTTTGAACCATATCATCGATTGTCTCCAGCCATCCCGAGGACCCCCACCAGGAAGTCTACACCTCCAAACCTAGCTTAAACGAACTGTTGTGAATTTCATTGACCGATGCCATGTTTGGTTTGACCGCCGCTGCCTCTTTTCCCACCTGATCCATCCTACGTCAGCTAACATTGCCGGTTAGACTACATGCAGTTAGTGTAATAAAGTGATTATTATTATTATTAAGTTGTCTATACTATTTATGTTGGGGGTGGGGGTGGGTTGGCGTTCTCTGAGCAAGTTGTACTACTGGGGAATAGGGACGTAGCAGCAGTATGGTGTTTCCCTCAGAAGACCACTATGCCATCTTTGCTCCCTCTCTGCTCTGGAGAGGGGGATAAGAAAAAATTGACCCTGAAAACTACACATCCCGAATTATCTCGTGACGATCCGTAGCTGGCGTTAAGGTTTTAATACAGACAACCACTGCAAATAGGCCGTATGTTTTCCCCTGATCTTTGTGGTTACGCAACAGGTACCCCAAGAAGAAGTCGACTTCTGTGGTGTGGGTAACCAAAAAGCAATAACTGCCCACATACTTCCCGTACTTCCATAAGCGTACAAAGATTTTATTATCACTCGTGTTTAATACATCATTAAACGCATGTTTAGAAAAATAATTTCACCAAGTTGTCTTTTCCTTTCTTTTACTTGCTTTTGGCAATTATTATTTCTGTTTATGCATTAAAGCTTTTTTTACCGAAATGAAAAAGGATAAAAGCTGCTCAAGATGTAAGCCTTTCCCAGCAAGTAAGATAAAGGTACTCCATAGAAAAATTCTTTTGTATTACAGTATTAAAGGTGAACTGTATGGGAAGTGAAGGCTAAGTTCAAATTTAGACACCTAACAAGAGCGGACGCACCAATAACTTTGGAAAGAGAGATTGCGTGAATTATGTCCCCCAACTCAACGCTGATCGTAATCTATACATGATGTAGCCTTAATCTATCTCTAACCAACCTTAATATATCCCTAATTACGTTAATGAAACGCTAACGTGCCTCTAGCTCAAACATAAACTTAATCTCTCCCTAACTTACAACTAACCAGATACCTTGCACCTCATTTAACACTTCATCAATATAGTGTTATTTCCAGTCCCTTGCACTGACTTAGCTACCCAAGATCAACGATGCGTTTGCGTCCATTGGGAGTCTAAGGTTTAAATGGTTCAAGTGAATATTCCTCTCTCAAAAAGGGAAATCAACTTCTGTAGAACTGTAAAACTGTCCTTTTTCAAATAACCTATGAAACAGGAGAAACAAGTCATGTAACGATCAAATCGCCACTCTACGAATCATCATTGAACAAAGCTTGGAATGGCAGTCACCTCTCTATCTCAACTTCATCGACTTTGAAAAGGCCTTCGACAGCGTCGATCCAGAGGTCATTTGGCAACTACTTCGCTACTACGGGGTCCCATCGACAATTATACATCTCATCCAACAGTTATACGACAATGCTGCATGCCAAGTAATCCACAACGGGAAACTTACGAAGCCTTCGAAGTAAGGACGGGAGTGAGACAAGGCTGCCTACTATCACCAATGATTTTCCTGATTTCAGTAGATTGGATAATGAGACAGACAACGGCCAACGAGGAAACAGGCATAAAATGAACTCACAAAAAACTTGGATGATCTGGACTTCACCGATGATATATGTCTAATTTCCCACAAACTGGAAGATATGCAAGTGAAAAGCAATAATTTGGCAGAAGAAGCATCAAAGATAGGACTTCAAGTGAACATAGATAAAACAGAGGTGATGAAGATTCCTGGCCAACACCACCAACAGCAACAACAACAACAGACAACAATCAGCATAAATGGGAGGAACCTGAAAGAAACAACCTCCTTTACCTACCTGGGAAGTATCGTCTCAACTACAGGCGACGGAACTGACGACGATATCAAAGCCAGAATCGGAAAATCAAGGCAGGCTTTCATTACTCTTAAGTCTATGTGGAAGTCAACAGCACTCAGCATCAAAAATAAGATCCGGATTTTCAACTTCAACTTGAAGTCAGTGCTACTATACGGATCAGAGACTTGGTCAGCGCGTCGTAAAGAGCATCTCAAGCAAACTTCAGACCTTCATTAACAGTTGTCTTCGCTCAATACTCAAGATCAGATGGCCAGAAAAGATCAGCAACAGGGATCTCTGGGAGCGAACCAACCAGGAACCGATTGTGAAACAAATAGGCAGGAAGAAATGGAGATGGATTGGCCATACGCTGAGGAAACCATCAAGTGACATCACTAGACAAGCCTTCGAGTGGAACCCGAAAGGGAAGCGACGAGTTGGTCGTCAGTGCAAGGGTGACTTGGAGGAGGTCATGCGAGGAGGAGATGAAAGCATGTGGGCAGACTTGGAGCGGGGTGAAAAAGTTGGCAGAAAACCGGAGGCAATGGAGGTACGCAGCTGAAGCCCTGTGTTCCTCTAGGAATTAAAGGATATAATAATAATAACATAATGATTATATGTTAAAGAGATATTTTTATCATTGAATTTTTATTATAGATATTGTTTTCATTCACAGGTTGGTTATCCATGTCTTGTTCGACCAAGTTACGTGCTATCTGGTGCAGCTATGAATGTAGCAACTGATCATGATCAATTAATCGCCTACTTGTCTGCTGCAAGAAATATTAGTCCAGAACATCCAGTAGTTATAAGTCAATTCATTTTGGATGCTAAAGAAATCGATGTTGATGCTGTTGCACAATCAGGTCGCCTTGTAGCTATGGCTGTTTCTGAACATGTAGAAAATGCTGGCGTCCATTCGGGCGATGCAACGCTTGTCACACCTCCACAAGATCTAAATGAAGAAACTTTGAGACGTATCAAGGAATTGGTTCGCGCCTTAGCAGACGAACTTGAAGTTTCTGGCCCATTTAATCTACAGTTGATTGCTAAGGATAATCGTCTGCAAATCATTGAAGCGAATTTAAGAGTTTCTCGCTCATTTCCTTTTGTATCCAAAACATTAAAGTACGATTTCATTGCAGCGGCTACCAGAGCAATACTTGGCGCAGCACGTGATTCAATTTATCCCCCAACTGAATCTCATGGTTCGAAAGCAGAAAGATTATCCTTCTCCAAATCTTTTCTTGAGCCATCTGTTAATCTTTTGGAAAATGCCACGGGTTTTGTTGGAGTTAAGGTATGCTTAGTCTGTACAGTTACTTGCTGTTTCATACCGTTTAGGTTTGCTTGTCAGATATTTTTACTGATTAACTGGATAAGTGCTTATATCATTCCACCTTTATGCATACACACCTTATTCATCTCAAATTATAATAATGATACTTTATGAAGATAGCAAGTAGAAATCCATTGAATTATGAGTAAATTTGGTTTCCATTTAGTGTAAGCTAAATAATTATGTCTATATATAATTTATTATTCCCTTGGGTTTCTAGTGGAAGATAAGGCTTCAGCAGCACATCTCAATTTTAACCTGTTATCTACACTCCTATCTAACTGGCTCCAAGACTAACCATTTTCTCCTCATATGATCTACTCCATGTCACTCTCGGACCATGCCCAACTCATCATTTCTCATTTGGATTGCACTCAAGGGTCGGCGTAGCGCGTGATGTCACTCGACGACCTCTATAGCATGTGTCTAACCTGTTTCCATGCCCTCATGTTATAGGTTCTCCGTTGGTTTATTGCCAGAGTTACTTGTTACTGATCCTTTCTGATCATTTGATCTGCAGTACGGAGCGAAGGCATATATATATATAAAGTGTAATTGTGTTAGCTAATAAAGGAATATTTAACTTTGTAGTTGTATTGTAAGAAATCCCATCAACTTTCCTCAGGTCATAGTATTATGTAGCTGGAAGAACACTTTCACTTTTTTATAATTTGCTTGTTTATGCCGAAATTATATACATCTTTATACACTCAAGGTTCCAGTTTTCTCTTTCGCTCGACTTCTCGGAGCTGATGTCTTACTTGGTGTTGAAATGGTTAGTACTGGTGAAGTTGCATGTTTTGGTGTTGATCGCTATGAAGCCTACCTGCTAGCACAAGCTTCTGCCTTATGCAATACAAATGGTCGTCTACCGAAACCAGGTGATAATATATTTTTATCTGTTGGCAGTTATCGTCACAAAGTGGAAATGCTTCCAAGGTTAGAAATGTTGTTTTGAATGAATAATGCCTTTCAAAAGCCTTCCGATTACATTCATTTTTATCATTTAATACTAATAATTTAATAGCAAAACATTAAGTTAGAATGTAGAACTTAGCATGAAAGTGAGCCGCATTAATCTATCACTTTTCATCAAAGTGGAGAGGTATGTTGAAAATGAATATATATGTATATATATATACAAAGAAAAGAGACTTAAGTCAATGTAAAAACTGCCGCGGAATTATGCTCCTGCCCATTCCAAGCAAAATACTAAGCCGCATCATCCTGGAGAGAATCAAACAAGCTCTAGATGAAAAACTTCGACCGGAAAAGTCCGGATTTAGCAGAAACAAATCACGTATTGATCAAATCGCCACTCTACAAATCATCATTGAACAAAGCTTGGAATGGCAGTCACCTCTCTATCTCAACTTCATCGACTTTGAAAAGGCCTTCGACAGCGTCGATCCAGAGGTCATTTGGCAACTACTTCGCTACTACGGGGTCCCATCGACAATTATACATCTCATCCAACAGTTATACGACAATGCTGCATGCCAAGTAATCCACAACGGGAAACTTACGAAGCCTTCGAAGTAAGGACGGGAGTGAGACAAGGCTGCCTACTATCACCAATGATTTTCCTGATTTCAGTAGATTGGATAATGAGACAGACAACGGCCAACGAGGAAACAGGCATAAAATGAACTCACAAAAAACTTGGATGATCTGGACTTCACCGATGATATATGTCTAATTTCCCACAAACTGGAAGATATGCAAGTGAAAAGCAATAATTTGGCAGAAGAAGCATCAAAGATAGGACTTCAAGTGAACATAGATAAAACAGAGGTGATGAAGATTCCTGGCCAACACCACCAACAGCAACAACAACAACAGACAACAATCAGCATAAATGGGAGGAACCTGAAAGAAACAACCTCCTTTACCTACCTGGGAAGTATCGTCTCAACTACAGGCGACGGAACTGACGACGATATCAAAGCCAGAATCGGAAAATCAAGGCAGGCTTTCATTACTCTTAAGTCTATGTGGAAGTCAACAGCACTCAGCATCAAAAATAAGATCCGGATTTTCAACTTCAACTTGAAGTCAGTGCTACTATACGGATCAGAGACTTGGTCAGCGCGTCGTAAAGAGCATCTCAAGCAAACTTCAGACCTTCATTAACAGTTGTCTTCGCTCAATACTCAAGATCAGATGGCCAGAAAAGATCAGCAACAGGGATCTCTGGGAGCGAACCAACCAGGAACCGATTGTGAAACAAATAGGCAGGAAGAAATGGAGATGGATTGGCCATACGCTGAGGAAACCATCAAGTGACATCACTAGACAAGCCTTCGAGTGGAACCCGAAAGGGAAGCGACGAGTTGGTCGTCAGTGCAAGGGTGACTTGGAGGAGGTCATGCGAGGAGGAGATGAAAGCATGTGGGCAGACTTGGAGCGGGGTGAAAAAGTTGGCAGAAAACCGGAGGCAATGGAGGTACGCAGCTGAAGCCCTGTGTTCCTCTAGGAATTAAAGGATATAATAATAATAACATAATGATTATATGTTAAAGAGATATTTTTTTTTTAATTCAATGCAGATTTTGTTATAATGGAATGTTGTTAATTAAATCTCTACTAGCTTAATAGTAATCAAAATTACTCAACACTTTTCATAACTGAATTTCAACATTACGATGTCTATGAAAAACTAAGTGACAGAGTTGAAAGTTACTGAGGTAAATGACTATGTTTCACTTATTTCTTTGAGACGTATACAGTTGGCCTACACATATACATACTTTAGGATACCCAATACCTAATGAATAGTCCTAATACTAAAATACGGTGTGGTTAGTTAGTTGACGAACCCTATGCAAATTATCACAATTAGTAAAATGCAATGTGTATCAAGAATGCTAACTATAATCACTCCCACTATCCAAAGTCTAAATGATAAACGGAAGAAATTGAATATTGTTTTCGAATTCACTACGCGAGACTCTTAGATAGACTTTGTTGTTGTCATTGATCTAATGAGGACTTCTGAGTTAATTGGCTAAAAGAGATTGATGTTTAAATTCTGTTTTCGCTCTTTTCAACTATGCTTCAATGTTTGGAAATCTCTGTAATACTGACTTTTTACAGGTGTAGTTTTGGCTACAATACAGAAAGTTTACTTAGCAACCAAGGTTGTTCACATGAGTAACTGAGTCATTCTATTGTCTTTGGAGGATAGATAGCTAAGTGGAGTTCATACTGTCGGCTTTTATTGAAAACTAAATACAAAATTCACTTAACTGTGGTTGAGGGTGTATGAACCTGTTTTGATCACAGGGATCCGTGGGGACGTAGCTCTTGGCTCTGCTTCACTACATTGTGTATCAGACTTCAGGTCAAGGTTTCGGGAGTGCCCTCTTTAGTTAACCACCGGCTTCGGCCTGGGCGTCCGCACAGTATAGCAGTCGTTACATAAACTATGAGATTTTGTGTGGCGCGCCTCTTAGTGCCCATAATGTACCAAGTTGTGACTCATATGCTTGTAATATTAATGTGTCCAATCCTTCACGTACTCCATAATGAAAAATTACAATAAAAAGCAATTAATCTTTTCTTTTTTGTACTTTCCCTCTACAGTGTTAATCAGTTGTACCAATTAGGATACAAATTATACGGAAGCTGTGGCACTGCAGATTTCTATCAGACTCAAGGAATTTCTATAATTCCAGTTGAATGGCCTTACGAAGAATCTGATTACAATTGTGTTAACAATAAGTAAGAAAATACTTTGTTTTCGTAAATCTTAGTTGATTTTTCTGGGGTAAATTGAATTTTCTTAGCTTTTTGCTTATTGCTTATGATGTTTGACTTTGATAATTATATGGTGTTAATGAATGGAATGGTGGCTTATTCTGAGTTATATTATGTAGAATTATTTACCTTTCTTATCATTATTTTCATGTTAGTCTTTTGTCTCTGAAATCCTTTCTCTTTTTATAGAATTCAGGCTAGTACGGAGATAAACTCAAAGGAAGGTACAATTCAACAATACCTCAAAGATAAACTATTCTCCTTGATTATAAGTTTATCATTAAGAAAAGTAGGAACTCGACGTTCTTCAGCTTTTGTTACTCGAGGTAATTAATTAATAAATTTGTATAATGTATATTCTACAGAATCACTACACTTTCCTATCACACATCGTCTTATTCATCAGTGCTATTAAATATAAGGTGAATTTTAACAGCTGGAGACAGATAAACACTTGGTTTCTATGTCTACCTATTTATATAGTTTTAGGGTTGGTCAAACCAAACCATGACATCAATTCATGAAGACTTTAACATACCACATAGAGAGCTGTAAACTATGTGATTGAGGTTCTTTGCATATTAATAACCATTCACGAAAAATACCCATTTATTCATAAGTAAAAACACAGTTTTTGTTCAGCGAAGAAATTTCTTTTCAACGACTTCATTTTCAAGCTGTACAGTCGTATTTATATTACAGAAAAAGGTTATTAAGTGGCACTAAATAATTGCTCAGTCAATGTACGTATATATGTGATAAAAGTTATAAGGGGTATAGTTGAAGTGGATAAATTACAAAAATATTAAAGATTGTTCTATAACAAAAATGTCAACTGTTGTCTAAAAATTTTGAAAATTAGGAGTACGATTACGATAAGAATGAAGATGTGAAGTGAAGTGGAAAGAATTCAAGTGGTAAAATAAAATAAAAACTAGAAAGAACATTATTATGACCAAGGTAAAGAAAGGGGTTTGACAAAACGCTTTTGAACACATAATTTAGGTTCCTGTTCATGTATAGCTAAAGCTTCGGCTATGCATGAGTGAAGAAAACGTAAACTTTTGGATCGATTCGATTTTGCCATGTAGATAACTTTGAAAGATGAATCACGTGGGGCTAAATGACCAGACTCTAACAGGTGATCACAAATAGACGACTTTGCAGTTCTACGTTCGCCTTTCATTAACCAAACCGGATAGTGCTCAGCTACACGTTTTCGGAGATTACGCTTACAACGTCCAATATAAACAGCTCCACAAGAGCAAGTAAAAGAGTAAATGCACATAGATGTGGACAAAAGCGGTAATCTATCCTTAACGCATTGTCTGATCATATTTCGGCTGGTAAAAACTAGTTGCAGGTCAGCTGCAGGAAAAGTGCGTTTAATACATTTAGATAAACGATTTTTAATCAATTCTGAAATGGTGTCACCTTTGAATGCAAGACTCACAAACAGCTTTTTCTTTGTTACTGTGACTTGTCTCGGGGCGGATTCTTTCTTGATGTTACGTTCAATGGACCTTGTGGGATAACCATTGTTAAGGAGATTTGATCGAAGGTTATCTAGTTCCCTGTCGATTGTCTCTGCAGAGCAGATTTTACGAATTCTGAAGCATAAGGAATGAATAAGATTTCTCTTTCTCCCTAAAGGTACCCAACTGTTGAAGTTAGTGTACTGCCCAGTGAATGTTGGCTTTCGGTAAATCGACCTTAGAAGCGTTCCATTCTCTCTTCTATCTAGCTTAACATCAAGGAAGTGAAACGAAGAATCCCACTCTTCTTCGATCGTGAAAAGCAAAGATGGGTGAGAACCATTAAATATTCTAAGAAGTTCGGCAGTTGAAGTGTTTTCATCACATACAGTGAAGGTATCATCAACATGTCTTTTATACATAAACAGACTATCGATGGTTTCCCTTAGTGGGCCATTCTCTAAGCTTGCCATGAAAACGTCCGCTAAGAGCGGTCCTAAAGGAGACCCCATGGCGACTCCATCCCTTTGGTTGTAGATGAGGTATTTTTCTGTAAAGAGAATACTACACAGTTTGTATGGTATGCAGTAGGTTACAATGAAATATTAAATTCTTTATTTTTTCTTAGTAATCAAATGAAGTTTTGTAGTATATATAATTCCAAAATAATAATTCATTAGAATATACCACAACACTACTTGTCTCGCTTTTTAATTTAGTTTCTTTTGTATGCGCCACTTTTATTCAAATTTCACACGTCCTGCAAGCAGTTTTTATGTTCATTATGATTTCATTATCCATAACACTAGGGGACGTAAAAGCTGTAAAATGGTATGAAGAAAACAATGGATATACTTTTCACCATTCAGTTGAAGAAATAATATTAAGTGTAGATTTATGCCTAAACCTCTTTTTTTCCTTCACGTTCCCCAGTGGAACATAGGGATTCAAACTAGTGGCTTGAAGTTTCTATAGCAGTGTTCATTTTACAGGATGTGGTTGCCAGCCCCATGCTCAACCTTTCCTCTTTACCAGCATTATTTATGACTTAGCGGGGTAAAGGAGTGCGTCGGCCGGACCCGGACCATGTGCATGGTCGGCGAGCGTCCTAACCGCTGTGCCACCGACGCACTTCTAAACCTCTACTGTATTCAAATTTCAACGTAAAATATACAAACAAATAGATGCAACGGCAACGGGATTCCCAATATTGGTAGGCATATTTATGGACAGTTGGGAACGTAAAGCCCTTAGAATGTTTAATGCTGCTCCTAGACTATGGTGCAGATACGTGGATGATAAATTCACTGTGTTGAAATCGAAACCTTTCCCAAAGTTCTTCATACATAAATTCATCAACAGATGGAATCTAATTTACTATTAAGTTAAGAAATGAGCAAGGTGAGTTGGACCATGCTAGACTAAAATAGGATGAGAACAGTTAAATTCTAATAGGCACTTAATTTTTGAAACATTATACCCGAAATTGTCAGATGTAGGTTTAGATAAGTGTTTATGTAGTTCAAGCCAGGAGCCTAACTAGTAAGTCAGACGATTTGAATAATGAAATCAAGTAAATAAGGAAAATGTTACTAGTGAATAACTACTCACCAAAATTTTTACGAAAATGTCTGAAAACCCATAACAAAATTAAAAGTAGTAGTGAAAGTAATGTAAATAATGAGGAATTTAAAGTCTCGATATTGTTGCCATATAAAGATGGAACATCACAGGCCTTACGCCGGATTCCTAATAAAGGTGATATCAAGGCGGCATTTGAACCAACCAACTTATTCAGAAATGAACTTTGTCGGCTTTAGGACCCAACAGATCCAATCGAGAAAAATAATATAATTTACCAAATGCCATGTAATGACTGTTGGTGAGGTCAATTACATAGGTCAAACTGGTAGATCGGCGTCAATTCGCTTAGCAGAATATAGAGATTTGGCTAGACCTAGAATGACTGACTTTACTAAGTTAAATAAACTAGAAAAACGCACAGCCATTGCATTGCACTTACTTGCATGTAATCACACAACGATAGGGAGGGGCAGGATGAGAGTATTGAAAGGTAATGTGCTTAGGTTGAGAGAGAGGTTAATCACTGAAGCTTTGTTTATCGATTCAACACCGCACACGTGCAATCGGAATAACGCAACGCCAATACCGCTCGCAATAAATAACAAGGTGGAGAGAAAGAAATGTATGGAGCCATGTGGACAAATTGACGTGATAAGAGCAGCAAATTGTGCTTGAAACATCATCCAGTTTTGTTTGCTGTGTCACAATATGTGTTGAGTCAAAAAAACATACTTCATATGGAATTATATTCTACCACAGTGCCGAAATTCTACTCTCACATTAAGGTACTAGTTAGGTACAATTTAAATACTATACTTTTGAAGCTTCCCAAATGCAGTCCGATTTTTATTGTTGATATGTGGACTAGTTGCTTCCAATGGCAAAAGTATTAATTGGTCATCTCTGCTTTTTTGAATTTATTTAGGTTATCAGACAAGACGCCTTGCAGTAGACACAAATGTCCCACTTCTAACTGATGTAAAACTGACTAAGCTTCTTGTTGAAGCTCTTTATCGATTCTTCCGTGGACAGAGTGCAGACCAAACAATATATCAGTCTCAGAGTAATGAATTCAATATGTACAGACAATCTTTCTTACATCGTTTACTTCCATTACATAGTATAACTTCTAGTCAGATCATTTATTTACCCGGGTTGATCGACATTCATGTCCACACCAGGTAACATTGAACACTACAATTTTGTTTGTTCATTCCACTTTCTTTTAATGTTTTCTACGTAGTTGCAAACACAGTAGTCTAAATTGATATAAGTGGATCACCTGATCGGCAGGAAGCCATGGATATAGGCTTTGTGCTTGTTACCTCTCTTCAGCACGGTGTACTGCTGTCATACTGCAACTCATACCCCTGAGACTAGAACCCGCGTCACCCAGAACTGTAATCAGAGGCGTTACCAGAGGTATTTATGGTGAGTCGAAGTCCTACAGGAGGTCCATCTCGAACCAGAATAGCGCAGTAGTCACGTCTTTAACTTCAGCGATGGATGACGCGAGAATTTTATCTCATAGGAGAAATGAGTTTTCTCTCTCAAAACTGCTGATGTGTACCAGCAAGCACGAAAAATAGACCAAAGGGTTTCTGTCGATGGCCTCCAGTCATCTAACATAAACTCAGAGTGCACCATGATGGCGAACCACCTAAGTTGGTGATCACATTGCAAACTTGACGGACCGAATTCAGTCTGCATCAAAACAAGGACTAAAAGCATGATATTTGTCACCAATTAGTGACAGAACAAAGCACAGTGGCCTGAAAATATTATATATATATATATATATATATATATATATATATATATATATATATATATATATATATATATATATATATATATATATAGAGAGAGAGAGAGAGAGAGAGAGAAGGAAAGAAAGACAGAGATCGCTTTCATCATAATACGTATGGTTTTCATGACAGTTCATAAGCCGTGGGATGCTAATTATAGTGGTAATAATAAAAGTAATAAAAAATGTACTCTAAAAGTCATAAAGTTAAAGTACATTTTCAAAATTTCGCCTATTTCTAACCCTTACTACTACTGTAACGACAGAAGGCAAGAGTCAGGCTACAGATCGTTTATTGAGGGAATCAACAGATATTTATGTACATTATTATAGATTATTGTTAGCAAACAAACAGTCTTCTGACTGGTTGTTTCTCGCTGAAAGTTAATGTTTCATCTCTTTGTGGCCGTCTCTTGAAAATCAGATCATCTATCTGCGAATTGTATCCACTCACACAAAGTCTGCTGTGATTGATTGTTGAGTCAGTCTTTGTTCTTGTTTTTCTCATGACCAATATTTGGGACATAAACAATGATGTAAATTACTGTATGCCAAATTTGGCTAGCAGACAGCTCTCACCACACTACCAGCACTAATGCTCCGCTTTTTTAATTACTCAGAGATCCTGGGATGGAATATAAAGAGGACTGGACAACTGTCACTAAAGCTGCTCTTGCTGGGGGTATAGTCACCATTTTAGCTATGCCGAATACAGATCCAGCAATAGTTGATGAGGCTAGTTTTAATGTAATGAGTCAACGTGCAGCGTCTAAAGCCTGTTGTGATTATGGCCTTTTTGTTGGTGCATCACCTGAAAATGTTTCCAACATAAATTCACTTTCTCGAAAAGCTATTGGATTGAAAATGTATCTCAATGAAACATTTACCAGTTTATCATTGGCTAACAGGCTGGATATCTGGCGACAGCATTTTGAAGTGAGTTAAAAATAATACAATTTTTATAAATTGTTTTAATTATCCCGTTCTCTTAGTACTATAAATGGCAGCAGTAAACAACAGGCACCAAAGTTAAATGACCTTGATTTGACCAATCAGATAGCTCAGCATTACAAATGGTTCTTAGTCATAATCCTCTTTGAAAGTGTCTTGTAGATTTGGCTTTTGACTTCTTTGTAGATAATGTGTTGATAGGGAGGAATAAAACATGCACGTGTGGAGGGATAATAACTCTGGAAAAGTATTTCCGGGTTATTAATAGTTATCCATTCAGATGCAACCACTTTATATGAGTAAGTCTGTATAGGTTGGTAAGTCGTACATAACTGGTGATTTTTTGGACACTTTCTTCTCGAAATCAAAGCTCTACCTTGGTAATATATTGTGTATATGCAACCAGTATCTTCTACAGCTGGAGTAATAGAGAATATATTGATTTGATGTCTATAACCACTTCCTTTGAGGATCTGGGATCAGTTTTCACACATATAGGAGATATATACCCTATATGATTCATTTTTATTACATATATCGTAGATACACTTCTTTGTAAACTAAGTACCACTTTTTACCCAGAAAAATCTGATTGGCTGCTTCAATGTCGTCTGAAGTTGGTGTCTATTCTTTACTGTTGCCCCATAACTGTGGATAAAGTGAGTACGAAACTGAGTCTAAACTAAAACTGAGCAAAGCAAGCTGATATATATCTGGAGTTGATACCTCTACAGAACTGTTTATCACTTGAGCCACACTCGGTATTGAAAAAGTATAGAGGTGGTTTAGTGGTAGAATCCTCGTCAACCACGCACGTAACCGGTTTCTATTTCCTGGACTCCCAAAACCCGTTTATCGGACTAAAAGTTCGGTTTTGAGGGAAGGTTGGAATTAATTATGGTTACTTCATCCAGTAAAAACAACTCCATTGTGTTATGTTGCTGCTGCTGAGTGGTTAATAATAGTTTTCCTCGTCGCCAAATTATTGCTATGTACTGGTCGAGAATTTAATAGTCCTGACGCAAGAAGGCGGAAATCAGAAGACCACTAGGTTTGCGATGATACTTCTATTTTCCAAACACAAGGAGAATGCAAAGTGGTATCACACCAAAGTAAGTGTCACACAAGATTGTGAGAGCGAAATATATATGAATGTCCAGACAAGTGTGTGAACAAATCAATAGACAGTCTTAACATGAATGGCTAATTATAATGGAGTATCGATCCATATATACATAGCAAAATATAGCAGACATGTCAACAACCACACATAATATGGATATATGTCACCAAGCAACGGACTGTCAACAAACACTCATATAATATAAGGGGAATATACATTGTTAAAGGAGACAGGTTCATCAAAGTGATATGGTCACAGACTAAGAGAGCAAACAGAAAGAGAGACCATCATATATATATATATATACATATATATATGGATACATATCACATTGCTACTGAAATAATAAGTTTAAATTTGATTTGGAAGTGTATTTTTATTTAATAGACGAAGATGAATTATTTGCAAGGTTCAGAATTTCGCAGTCATCCTTCTGACTGCTATATTCTCAATTAATAAACTTAGTTATTCAACTGCCCTCATAGCTATAAATAGATTAGAACAATATTCTTTCAAAGTGATATAAGTGTACATGACGTATTTGAAGAAGAAAAAAAGTATTTCTTGTATCATTCATCAACGCATACCATTTATCATTTGGCATATGAAAAAACGGATGATCATTTACTTGGCTCACCTTTTGAACTTCTACTTTCTGTCTAGTATTTATAAAGTCGATTATCAGTAATTCATCTCAGTTGTTTGTTAAGAAAAAAGAATATTATTTTACTGGTTCACATTCTGTGTGTTTTAATCCGAACGACTAGTAAAGAGCATAGATTATTTTTGTTTTCTTATTTATCATTTATGCATATTCTTCCCTCTGCCTCGCAACAATCCTCCTCCTGTTTTCGTCTTGTAGAATTGGCCAGCCGATCGTCCGATTTGTTGTCATGCTGAAGGGGAGACTGTAGCGGCCATAATTTTCTTAGCGGAGCTTACTAGTCACAGTGTGCATATTTGTCATGTTGCACGTAAAGCCGAGATTGAATTAATTCGGGATGCGAAACAACGCGGTGTAAAAGTGACCTGTGAAGTTTGTCCGCATCATTTATTTCTAACTGTAGACGATTTACCTCATGAAGGCGGTTGGAGTAAGTTCGATGTCTTTTTCCTGCAGGTAACCACCCTAAGCCAGTGAAAAAAAATGTAGTTCAAGAAACTCTCTTCGTAACAAACATTGAATTTCCGCCAATATTCTAAATTAAAATTGTCACATTAAACGGTATCAGATTCAGTTTTTGAGTAGACATTTTTGTTGAAATCTGTATGAAGGTAAAATACCTATTTCAAATAACTAAGCTTAACGACCACGCCCCCCCCCCTAAGCTATGTTTTTCACTGTATTTGTGTAATGGGTTGATGCATTTGTCACGTTGAACCTTGATTAGGACATTTTCTAATTTACCTGCAAATTAAATTACCGAATTATTATTATTGTCTCAAGAAAGTATTACAAATTCTAAACTTCTTGTGTCAGGTGGATACTCACTGTTTTACCTCTTCTTTAATACAACAGGTATTATAAAACTAATCGTAACTTCAGTTAGACTAAATAATCACCTTTAATTAATCACAAACACCACTGCCTATGATACGACTACATTTATACTTAAATTCACCACTCAAAAAACTGATTTAAGATAGTTATACACATTAAACACTATATGTCATAAATAGATTTCCAGTTAGAAAATCACATGAGAGAGATTGCAGTCCATTGGTTGTTGCTAGTAGCCGTTTCTTACATGTATCTTTATCAACTGTAAACTGTACACAAGTATGGATCACAACTGAAAGCACCTTACTAATAAAATAGAGTCTGCTTCACTGCTGCGTCTACCCAACAAGAGATCTCATCAATTTCCATATTTTAAGAGTTGGATATATTGTTCTCATACGTCGTGTGAGTATTTGTCTATCCATCCCTAACTTGGTTAACTGTATTTTGTTGCTGCTTACGTTTTGGAGAAGTGGGACAATGTAAATAGTATGTATTGATGAAATTTTATAGGAAGCAGTAGTAACCTAACCTAAAACCAATAAAAAATTACAAATATAGTATAGCTTAGTTACACTGTGCTTCTAGGATGACATTTGAACAAAAGTGAGATGTGTTTAAGAAAATGAATAAATAAATACGGAAAATAACCGCAGAGAACCCATCTCAGACACATAGTTATTCGTTTATTTCTCTCGATTAAGTGAGATAAATCAATCCAGCATAAGAATATGTATAAACTTGGGTTACAATTCTTGAATGACTAGTATCTACCATGAAAAATATTCTTTAACCTTGTGAAACATGGTAATCTATTTAAGGATAAACTGTACAGCTGAGCAGTTAACAAGAATAGCATTGGAAATCACTCATTTATTGAGTTGACAATGTGCATATCTGAGTACTAAGCGATCTAGAAAGTTCGGAATTATAACACGTCTCTAAATATAATTTGAAGATGAAAATATTAAGATTTGAATTGTGTTGCCTTTTTAAACTGAATAGTTCAGTCATGAGGCCTTCTTGGAATCTTCTCGTACGACGTCAGCACTAAATTCAAGGTTTAGGTTTAAAGGCGGTGAAGAATGGACAATCAAGTTATGGTTTGAGAAGGTTTCAGATATCGAACCGTTGTAGTCTTCTTTGTATTCTTCAGTCGTACTGTATGAACTGATCACTGATTTCTAAGTAAAGATGAATCCGCTTCCTATGTCTATGGTCATCATCATTTGAAAGGATTTGTACATGTGTTCTATAGTCTTAGTCGGCGTTCGCTTTAAATTTAGTTGCTGTAAGTTCGACCAAATCGAAATGAGTTACACTAATCCACAAAGTCTCTGTGAATAGTGGTGTTGTTCGAAACTATATTCTTTGTATATTCAAAACTACGAGACAGATGATTACAGATTGTAGTGGTGCAAGTTTATTATCATTATATCATTTTAATGTAAATAGTGTATATTATATATTATCACCCTTTTTTTCTTCTTTCGTGGTCCTTTATACTACTTTGTTTTTTCTGGCATTTCTTTTCAGTGTGCTAATTTTCATCTGACTGTACCGAGGATTCTTTATTTACAGTAGAATTATATAAACTTCCAATGCAGGAACTAAGATAGCTACTGAAAATCCTTTATAATTTTAAGAACTTCCATACAGTCTGTACTTGCAAAGCTTTTGTGTTAATTGTTTTTCAGGTGAAGTTCGTCCGCGTCTCGGTACGGCAGATGATGTAAATGCCCTGTGGGCCAATATGCATACAATTGACTGCTTCGCAACTGACCACGCACCACATACTATTGCTGAGAAGGGTAAAGACCCAGGCGCCCCTCCTGGATTTCCCGGTTTAGAAACTATGCTACCGTTATTGTTAACTGCTGTGTATAATGGTCGTCTTACACTCACAGAACTAATTGAGCGATTGTACTTAAATCCATGCAAAATATTTGGAATAGGTACTGCCCACACTTTAAATTCAGTTAGTCGAGGAATATATGGAGAGACGTGGGTTGAAGTGGATATGAGTGTGGAATGGAGTATTCCCGGAGATGCTTGGAAAACTAGATCTGAAACTCCAAAATTCTTTAGCCGATCAAATTGGAGTCCTTTCGCAGGCCGAAGTGTTCGTGGTCAAGTTCGTCGTGTTATGCTCCGAGGTCACTTAGCATACGTTGATGGACGGGGTATGATCATCCTTTTTATTCACCCTTTACATTTCATTATTTCAGTTACAGAGATGTAATTCATTTCTACCAGGCGTCGGTGGTATAGCGGTTAGGACGCTCGCCAACCATGCATATGGTCCGGGGTTCGATCCCCGGCCGGCGCACTCCTTTACCTCACTGAGCCAGAAATAATGCTGGGAGGAAGGCAAGATGACAGAGATGAAGAAAAAGATGAGTGAGCATTAGAGAGGTTCCGTATGCATTTCGGATTGTGAGGGCGTTTGTTACTTCCCGGCTGCCCACACTGTGGAAGTTGGTTGCGTGACCGCAGAGCCCAGGGGACAACTGCTTGAGGCCGGTCACACACGGCCTGCTTTTGTTTGTTCGTTATTGTTTGGTGTGTCTCAGTAGCATATTTATCACTCCTGCCCTGTGACGCAGCAGCAGGAAGTAGGGTCGTTGTTAATCTGGGCCCTGGCCGATCCAGCATGATATTTTGTGAGTTTTTATGTATCATAGTGTTAGATTGGGTAGCTGCTTTTTGTCTAACCGCTATCCAAACAACCTTTCCGGCGTGGTAGGACCTCAAGCGACGTAAGTCTTAGCCAGTATAGCTTGTTGGGCAGTTGCGGTGTTCAAGGCAGCAGCTTTCGGTCCACTGAAGGTCAGGTCAGTATTTGTGGCTGGAACTGCTTCTTTGGCACACAAAATACTGGTTGTTTCACGCGAATCGTGATAGCTTGCTGTTTGGAGTATGCGGTACCTGGATGCTTTTGGAAATTTATTCGGTACCCGATAGGTGATAAAAATTCTTCAGTGCTGGTTTTGTGACCGGTTTGAACCAGGTAGTGTTCCCGAGTACGAAAAATCAAGTTCCTAGAACAACAGTAGTAATATTACTCTACAACACTATGTAATTTATCAAAATAAAATCTTATCCATAATGGGGTGACCGAAGATTCTGAGTTTAGGAGACAAGTATAACAACAGTATTTTTTCTCAGATTCAGTGCTGGTTTTAATAAACACTATTTTTTATTTCAGTCTTGGTGAGCCCTGGTTTTGGAAAAGACGTATCGTCAAACTTAACTTCGTCTACGAATTCATTGGATGCAATAACAATTGACACAACTTTGAAGCATACAACTATTTCGGTTGGTTCTCCTACTATTAGGAAACGAACTAACTCAAAATGTGAACGCGTTCAAGTAAAGAACTGCTCCTTAATCGTTATTATTGTGTTGTGTGTTTTCTTTGGTATTTTTTTGCATACAGTGTTACTTTTCGCGACAACTAATTTGTTCAGATAATGTTTTATTTACTGAAACAGACAGACCAAGAAGTGATGAAAATAACTGAAACAATATACGAGCATAAAACATTAAGTAGAAGGAAGAAAATATTCAAACGATTGCATATTTTCATATAAGTAGTAGTGAAGTGTCTCTGCTACACACATCCTCTGAAATGGTCAAGTGAAGTAGTTTTAAGTAGGATACCAGTAAACGTCTTTGAAAGATTGTATTAACAGCACTGGTAAGTAACAGTTCGTTGTTACCATTCCACTATATTAAAGGAGAATATAGACATTCTAATTCTGCCTAATTTTAATTGTCATCACCTCTTTCACTTTTAAAGTCTCAAGATGAAACTCCAATCCCAATAACCGCTCAAAATGATGAGGGACCTCGAAGTCCAGTTAACATATGTCAACCTCAGGTGTCGGGTCTCATTACGAATGCCCACGTACCTACAACTCATCAAAGTGCACCTAGTATGTGGTTAGACGGTATATCTGGCAAACACATACTTTCTTCTATGGATTTCTCAAGAGATCATCTTCGTCGGCTGTATAATCTGGCACACAGTTTTAAACTTGCTTTAAATAAAAACAAACCACTCGATCAAATTTGCCGAGGGAAAGTAAGTGCTTCCATACTGTTTTTATGTCTTCACCTCACTGACTCTTCATATTCTTTATCATTACTTAACCTTGTGTGTATTTCTACTTAACAGGTAATGGCCAGTCTGTTTTTTGAGCCTAGTACGCGTACTACCAACTCATTTGCAGTGGCTATGCAACGACTCGGAGGAACTGTAGTACACTTTTCAGAATCTGAAAGTTCTCAGAAGAAAGGTGAAGCCCTTTTGGATACTATACGTGTATTAGCTGGCTATTGCGATTGCATGGTAGTAAGGCATCCAGGAAAAGGTGCAATACAAAGTGTCGCGAATTCAATACTCCATAAACCAATCATAAATGCAGGTTAGTTGATATTGCCTTGTTGTCTTATGAAGTCAAATGCATTGACATCTCTTCAGTTTTCCCACTTAGTCCGAGGGATAGTAACCAGAGAACGCTATGGGAGCTACTGTGATGATATTCGTAGTACATGTCCATGAGACCGGAACTGCTTCTTAGATGACATTGTCTTTCAACAGACAATCTCCACTATGACCAAATACTTGCCACCAGACCTCAGAATTACTTACATGATGTCACCCAATGTAGCCAATTCTACGGAGGCATCAATAATTGAATACACAGAGTCGCTGCACACCGTCAGTTCCAAGAGGTCAGCTTTCACAGTCTCAGAGCAAGAATCCATGTACCGAAGAATTTGGAACCTGACCTTTAGCTGTGCCAGATGTGATCCAGGCTGACGTATGCCGCCCTAGTTTTCATTATACGGTTTGAGATTTCATCCGACACGCCGCCAAGACACACAACTATCCAGATACACGAACTTGTCAATTACTCCTAACGACTCACCTGCAAGGATGTCTGAAAAAACAGGTACCCTCAATATTTCAACAACACTTTGCACTTATACGGTGCAAAGCGCATACCTTATAGGCATTAACTGCCAACTGATTAAGTACGATTAGGGCAGTGTGCATGTTATTGCACTGTAAGGCGATATTGTCTGCAAACTCGAGGTCAAAAGGTCTTTCTTTAGGCAGCAAATGTATACCGGCACCACCTACATCCTTCAGGGTTGTCTCCAGAATTTCATTGATGGCAAAGTTAAAGAGAAATGGTGAGACTGGGTAACCCCGTCTAGTCCAATTGTTGTTTCAGAATAGCTGATTATATGACCTCATTCCAACTGAGGTGTATCTGTTTAGGGCTCTCAGGCTGTTAAAAATCTCAGTAACGCCCTCTCTAACAGAGAATTTTTTAGAGCAGTTTCTGTCCAATGAACCGACGATAGTCTTAATATCAAGAAATACAAAGAATGTTGGTCTGTGGTACGAGCGACGGTGTTAAGCCAACTGATGAATGACGATGTGGGCTGGCTAAACTGTTTCTTAAAGTACCCTGTCTAACATTTCAGGCGTTTCTTTAAGTTTCTGATTAGCTTACAATTCGCCGCAGATCTGTCTCAGTGTAACTATGCTTGTTTCCCCCAGTGACCTGGATGGATTGAGATAGCTTCCGACAATCGCCAGATACACGTTCTGAGTACCAAGCTTTGAGATGCCATTCCAGTAAATAATACTGCTTTACTATTCTATATAAAATATCACCTAGACCTTGTAAATTCAGTGGTGTAATTCTATGCCACTATAATAGATTTCAGTACTGCAGAGTTAACCAATTACTAAACAATCGACACGAATAGCAAATAGGACTACTGCAGTTGTTTGGTAATTATCACTGATACATGAAACAAAGATTTCAGCAAAAAAATTTCTCATTCTGCAGCGATTTCGCTTTCATAGCTGACCAATCGTGTTTCTGCACACAGATGACAACATACAATAGCGATTAATTTTGTTGTCTGTGTTAACATTTGACAATGAGTGGGAATACTAAAGTATGATAGCTTTGGTGTGAATAATTACGAATCAGAAATTGATTAGACATATGGATGAAAACAATTTTGTACGATCTCTTTCGTTACCATGGTCATAATTCTATCATTTTATTCGCAAAACTACTTCATTCTTCTGTACATCATGCTGTTTCATTTTACTTTGTCACGTTCTAGCATTTTATTTTTTTAATTCGATTGGCAATGCTTCACTGGTCTTATTTTCACATATTGTTGCATCTGAATAGGATAAATTGACATACTCACATTTCTGAATGTGCTCAATCTTCCTACCATCTATTTTACGAATGTTTATTGAACTTTCTGTTGATCTTTACTCATCCATTCACTTGTCTAATCTATTTGTGCCTCATGATTATTCACGCCAATATTATCCCACTTTAGTATTTCCACTCACTGTTAAATGTTAACACAGACACAACAAAACTACTCATTATTGTAGATTGTAATCCATGTGCATAAACACGATTATACAGATATGTATATGAAATCATCGAAAAGAGAGCCTCCTTTGCTGAAATCTTTGTTTTATAACTTATGCACAAACTACTGTACAACTGTTAATTTATAGTAGCAGTACGAATAGTTTCCTGTCTGCAGCCGTATGTATTCTTAGACCACTACATCACTGTACTGAATGTAAGTATTGATGTTATTCGGTGGATTGTGACTAGTAGTGGAGTCCAGGATGTGCGCCTCATCGTATCTAGGACTCTTTCGCTGGATCTACCTGCATTTCCCAGTTAGTGACTGTTCTTACTGTGACCCGGAAGCTACGTATTTTGCAACAAGGGTAAAATAATTACCTATTCCCGTTGCATGATAAATGACTCCCGTGAGACCCAATGGTCTAGTGGATAACAAATTGGCCTTCAAAACGAGTGGAATTATCTGCAAGTCACGAATCATCGATAACATCAATGTTAAATTCTTAGATATCATCAAAGCGTCCATACTAGAGGTTGAACATTTTGGTTCAACCAATGAACAAATAAACAAAATTAACTCAAAAATAAATATCTTTCCAAAATTACTAAATTTTCATTGTTGTCCGTTTTTATACATAAACAGATTTTTACCAGACACTAAGATGGTCTTCAGTGGATGTATCTAATAAAGTAAAAAATGTAAGCATCTAATGACCTAAAACACACATAGAAAATTGGAAGTTTAGCACATCAAGACATTGTTTATTTTATATGAAAACAAAATAATCGCAAGCTGATCATAAAATAAAGGCATGGCATATAGTCATTTTACCATCACCATTGTACCCATAATTTTTTAAATTGACACATATTCTGATAAGGACATGAATTGTACGTCAATCTCATTTTAAATCTATTAGTAAGATTCGATGGTGTGCTAAAACAGTCGAGTCAAGAGTTTGACCGATAATCTAAACAGTTTGAATAAAGAATCTGTACATTATCATCTTAAAAGATGTCATATTTTTAAAACGAATAATGTGAGCGGTAATTACAAATAAGCAAGAGAGTTTAAAGCCTCTGTTGATGAAGATTCAACATACTTGTACTAGTTTGAATTATTTTGAGTCATTTTACTTAGATCATACCAATAGCAACAGAATTCGTAGATAAGTGTGACACGTTTTGGCTAGACTTCTCTTAAATAATTTCCAGCACGCTGGTGGAGATGATGGACTACCATACTGACTGGCTCACCTTTGTTTTACTACCTAATACAATATTCTTATCTGTGACTCCTCCTTTTGCCAACTCACAGGGCGATTTTTTCTACTTCCTGCGACCATGCCTACAATAAAGTCATGTTTGAATACACTACCGGATACTAACCATGCTGGTGCCAAAGGTGATAGCAATTAATAGATGTCAAGTGGATTTATGCTGAGATTTCATCAGCAAGCCGTCGAATTACTTCCCAAATAAGTAATTTAATCAACTCATTTGACCAGTTTATTTAGCATCTTTAAGAGTTACCTTACACTTCCTGAAAAGATTGAAATGTATATGCAGTAAAATTTAGACTTCTGTTGGAATTTATAGGCAAGCAAAACAAAGCCTTTATTTAGGATTCTCAACAATGTTAAGGTTATATTGCTTCAATAATAAACATTTCGATACATCAGATACCTTGTAAACATTGCAAGGTGATGTAAAAATACGAAAATAGGTAACTCAAGATCACTGAACACCAAAAATTGGCTACATATACAGTGTTAGCAATATAAATAACTCAGGAAAAAAGTAGGGCAGTTATAATGCAGCCCTGTTGTATTCGCTGAATCTTCTTAAGGTTTTGATTGACAATAATGAACACTTGATAATTTTTAAAGCAATGTTCCGAATAAACTCTTCCACAGTGCTGAGACTTCACATCATTAAGATGGTGTTACTGACATGTCAAAAGTTGCTTTAGTAATTTTGTTTACTCAATCTTCTTAACATCCACTGTATACGACAAGTAACCATCAGGTCTTTAGTTGTTAAGTCAGGTTATATAAACATAAAGATACGCTTAATATGCGGTGTTTATTGACGTCTACATATGAGCCACATTACATAACTGTGATCTATAGTTTTCAGCTTAAACGGTATTCTGTTAAGTTAATCCCATTCACCCTACAAAGCAGCTTGTAAATGAAGAAAGATATATCCGAAAGTACCTGATTTGTTGTTAGATCAGTCAAACGCATAACATCATTATTGGAATAGAGTTTACGTATTCATTAACATGTGTTTGTAAGGCTTGAGTGATATTATGATTATAAAAACTAGGAAATATTATACTAATAACCAATGATATAATCCATCTACCAACTAAAATACTTATAATAATGCCTGACTTTAAATCGAAGATGGCGTACACAAAGTGTCTTCAAAACAAAATGTTGTTAAATGGGACTAATTGCTCAAACAAATGTGACGGCACATTTCCCACTGAAACGACGCTTATCAGTAATATGGATTGTCTATCATTTATTATGAGTACTTCGTATCATGTTTTTCTTCTTGGTACAGGTGATGGTATAGGGGAACACCCTACTCAAGCACTGTTGGATGTTTTCACTATCAGAGAAGAGATAGGAACAGTAAATGGTCTAACTATCACTATGGTCGGAGATCTTGCTCATGGACGGACGGTGCATAGTTTAGCACGACTACTATGTTTATATAAAGTTAAGTTACGTTACGTCACTCATAGAGATGAGTTTAAAATGCCGCAAGAAGTCAAAGCCTACGTTGCAGAACGAGGCATTCCACAAGAAGAAATGTCAAGGTAAGTTGATTTTCATTCGTTTAACCTACAGGTTTCCATGAAAAGATAAGGGCACTAGATATATCTATAAGCTAAGTAACACAGTTTTGATATAACCTTAGTCACGTAACTCTTTTCTGCTATTTTCACTCGCAGCTTAGAAGAGGCACTCCCGGATACCGATGTTTTGTATATGACACGTGTGCAAACAGAAAGGATTCAGAGTAATGGTGGAGATGCTAGAAATGATCAGTTCGTTGTCACACCGGAATTGATGGCATTGGCTAAACCTACAGGTATGATTGTAATGCATCCACTTCCGCGAGTTGGGGAAATTAGTCCCAGATTCGATTCGGATCCTCGAGCAGCCTACTTCCGTCAAGCAGAATATGGGATGCATGTTCGTATGGCTTTGTTGGCTATCTTACTGGCTAATCAGAAATAAAGAAATTTTACAGTTCACCTCTGATGATTGCTGCTTTTTATGTATTATTTTACCACAGTGAGAATATATTTTTCCAGTGTAATATGATAGCGGCTCTAATAAATGTTTGTATTGCATGCATTCTTCTCAACTAGTGCACAGTTTTCATTTATAAGCCACTCATCATGACTAGTATGCACGAGGTGAATTCGTTACTTGTTAGTATGGTGATAACTAATTATGGGATTATGACATTTTCTGAAAGTGCTGCTGCTTTCAATAAATCAAGTTAAGTGAAAATTATCACACCACAAACAGGTGTATAATCTCGATAAAGGGGCAGTTACCGGTCTTTAGACATGAAAAACTGTTAGTATGATCAGAATTCATACGCTAGTATTTCATACTTTAGCAAGGCACCTTAGACGTTTCTGCAGAAAAATAATCAACGAACGAGTATAAAGTGTATTCTGAATTCAATGGTATTCCATTACCAATTATATACATTATTGGCAGAATAAATAAAAATTTCGATTATTTCTCAGAGGTTTTTAAAATAATCTCACTCTCACTGTGAGCGAAATCGCACAATTCTGAAGGGTATGGACAACCATCTGGGTGATTCAGCAACATCCAACACAGTTTCATTTTGCGATTCTTTCCCCTTTTTTCGCTGTTTGATACAGACAAAGAATCCTTTAATTGCAGCATCTTATTTGGTGACCAACGTAGCTGAACATTGTTTTTGATAGCTTTGGAAGTAAACAAAGAACACAATTAGAGAAGACTTACATTGCGTGTGAAAGATCTTCACATAAAAAACCATGTTTACCCAACAGTTGTCCCCTATCAAATAATGCTGTGTATCCCTAGGAATGATTTGACATCATTAATCTAAAAAACAATCGGATTATGAGTCAACTTGATTGTAGAACGCTGTATGTGTTTATAAAAACCTATATAAATGTCTTCATAGTTTAGAATGATTCTGTTACTGAATAAAGGTACTTTCTTCCTTAAGGCTAAAGTTACTCGATAACAATTAGTGGTTCAACATGATATCTGTCTGTAGCTGTAAACTTCAATTCGATTTATGCTTTAAGCATCTTAAGATAACTGCACTCGCTTAATATGAATGATTGAAATGAGTAATTTCAATGAATGAATACTCAGTCTTAAGATAAGATGGACGAATACATTTCTTGTGTGCTATGCAGTTCTATTCCTTTGTCTACATAACCCAACTATCTGATAACAGATTGTATCAATGTAGGCGAAACCATTCGGTCTGAGTATGTATAGCCAATGACGACAAATTAGGTTGAAATACTATTGTTCCACTTGCAGTGTATTTCATATTCATGATTTTAACTCGAATTATCAAGTAAAAGGATACGACAAATGAGAGAGAGACAGTAATTGATGTTATGCGTAAACTCACTTCGAAAGCATTGGTGATGATTTTTTAGAACAGTCTGCAAACCCCCATTCTGAGATTTTAATAACCTCATATCATTCGTCGGTATAAGTTTACTGCACTCTGATAAGCTTAATACACCTTGGTAAAAGTAAGCAATAATTCATACTTTATTACAAGTAACTGATTCGAATAATAACAAAGTTAAGGATGCGGCGAACAATTACTTTTTGAAGCAAGTGATATCATCGAAACTGTTGTCACATATTAACTATATTTATGGTCAAGGAAGAGAAGTTTACTAATTCAGACATACTGAACATTACTGAGTTGGGACATCATCTCATATAAGGAATAGGAGGCAGGAAAGCAGAGGTTGTGGAGGCAAGATGTAATAAATAGACAAATGCCGTAATGCAATTAAAAAAGAACCACTTTTGTGACACAAACCATCGCATCAGTATGTTCTGTGACCAAATAACACACGACAAATATATGCATCCTTTCCACCTAATCTTACTTCATTTAACATGTATAGGCTGCTACCTTGACGTGGTGGTCGGGCTTGAACACCGCAATGACATAATCAAGCTATACTGGCTGAGACTTATGTCTCTTGAGGTTCTACCATGCCAGGCAGGTTGTTTGGATAGCGGTTAAACAAAAAGCAGCTACCCAATCCAACATCATGTCCAATACAAAATTACAAAATTTCATGCCTGATCGGCCGTGGCCCGGATTAACAACGACCGCGCTTCCTGCTGCCGTGTCACAGGGCGGGAGTGATAAATCTGCTACTGAGACACACCAAACAAAAAAGAACGAACAAAAACAGGCCGCATGTGACCGGCCTCAAGCAGTTGTCCCCTGGGCTCTGCGGTCACGCAACCAACTTCCACGGTGTGGGCAGCCGGGAAGTAACAATCGCCCTCACAATCCGAAATGCACACGAAACCTCTCTATTACTCACTCATCTTTGTCTTCATCTCTATCATCTTGCCTTCCTTCCACTGATGCAACTCCTCGACTTGATAGCTCTCCACTTCCTCTCCACTCTGCGTCCACTAAAAACGATGGAAGCCAAAAAACCACCACCGACAGCCTCTTAAAGCCGCGCCACCAATTTCATATAGGAGCTCTTAATGTTAGGACACTTTGCCAAATAGGACAACAAGCATCACTAGCCAAGACCCTGGCATCACGAGCCATTGATGTATGCTGTGTTTCAGAAACACGCATACAAGACCCAAGTGTGGTTATTCACCTAACTCCACCTGGCCAACAGGTTGAATCTGCGAAATTCACCTTGAGGGTGTCAGGAGATGCCACAGCTAGTTCACGAGGATTAGCTGGCGTAGGGATAGCTTTGAGTACTAGGGCAGAAAAGACATTGCTTGACTGGATCCCGGTAGATAGCCGAATGTGTGCTGTCCGCCTGAACGGATCAGTAAGAAGGAGAAAGGACTGCACTACTCGCCGATGCCTTTTCGTAATCTCTGCCTACGCCCCCACTGACTGCAGTTCAGATGAAACGAAGGATGAGTTCTACCAAAAGCTGTCTATTTTGGTGGGAAAGGCTAAACGCTCAGACATAGTCGTTCTAGCTGGTGACTTTAACGCTCAAGTAGGGAAATTGTGTCAATCTGAGAAGGATGTCGGTGGCACCTATGGAGCTCCCTGCCAGCGAACCGACAACGGTGACCGTCTCCTACAGTTCTGTTCTGATAATCATTTGTTTCTTGTAAGCACTACCTTCAAACACAAGGAGAGACACTGTTTGACTTGGAGACCCCCTTCATCAAACCAACACTGGACACAAATAGACCACATAGCAATAAGCTATCGTTGGCGTGGGTCGGTAGGAGATTGTCGCTCCTTCTGGAACACGTGCGTAGATACCGACCATGCACTGGTCCGCGCTCGGGTGTGCTTACGACTGAACGGACATAGGAAACAGCTGGCGGTAAAACCATCACGTCCCCAGCTCGATCAGGAAACTAAATCCGTATTTGAGGAAGAACTAGCTAAACACATATCTGTGTTCGACAGCTGTGCTCACCCTGAAGAAGCTTGGAAAAGTATTCAGGCATGCGATTCGCCCCTGCAAAATGTAAGATGCTGCTACAGGACTGGACGACGTCAACCCCTAACTTAGTGATAGGGAGTGAAGTGATAGAACATGTTGACCACTTCACCTATTTGGGAAGTTGTATTAGCACCAACGGACTGATTGGCGATGAAATCTCAGCACGGATCCGAAAAGCTCGAGCTGCTTTCGCTGACTTACACCATCTCTGGCGTAGGCGTGACATCCGGTTATCAACCAAGGGACGTGTGTACTGCTCATCAGTTCGCTCCGTCCTTCTCTATGGCTCTGAAACATGGCCAATACGCGTTGAAGACATGAAAAGGTTGACTGCTTTCGATCATAGATGTCTGCGATCTCTGTCTCACGTTAGGTGGTTTCACAAGATAAGTAATGTTGACGTTAGGCGTAGAGTGTTGGGCAAAGAGGGAAAATCAATCGACGAGGTTATAAAGTTACATAGACTAAGATGGCTAGGTCACGTGGTGCGCATGCCTAACCACCGCCTCCCCCGACGGGCATTGTTAGCTGATATAGGTTCAGGTTGGAAAAGAGCCAGTGGTGGCCAAACAAAAACATGGCATCAATCCATGAAATCCTTGACAGTTAAACTGAGTCAGGTAGGGAGATGCAGACTCCCGGGTTGGGGCCCTCGGGACTCTAGGAATCAATGGCTGGAGACAATAGGTGACATGGCTCAAAATCGTTGTCAATGGCGCAGATGTATTCAGTCTCTGTAATCTTTCATATTCCTTTCTACCATTACCCATTCTGTCTCACTCTTATATTTGTCAAACTCTATTAATTCTCTTCACTCATCTTCTTGTCTACCTCTGTGTGCTATTTGGAACGTGGCAACTCGAACTGCTGCACTTCGGTGCCAAGTTCTATGTTGAATCCAGACAGACAGACATAGATACAGCTGTGAATAAGGTAAACCCAAAGGTGAGTAAAAACCACTGGATCTCTACTGCCCCATCCGAACTGATAGATGCTAGAAGACTTATTCCGGCGAGCTCCGAATTCAATGAGGAGCGAAAGCTGCACAAGAGGAAACTTACGAAAAGTCTCCGCAAGGACCGTGAACAGTGGCGGGCGACAAAAGCCAAAGAGATGGAGAAAGCTTCGAGGATAGGCAACACCAGGCAACTCTTTAGACTCATCAGGGAAACGGGTGGAAGAAGGCAAATCATAAGTGAAACAATCTCGGAGAAAAATGGCACTATAATTAGCTCCCGGGTAGACGACTGGATCGTTGGAAAGAGCATTATGAGGAGCAGTTTAATTGGCCCACAGCCACACTCAACCTTCCGAGCATCCAACACCTCCCTGAATGGGATATAGACACAGGTCCTCCGTCACTAACTGAGGTTACTAAAGCTGTCACCAATCTGAAACTAGGCAAAGCAGCGGGACCTGATGGAATGACTCCAGAGGTATTTAAGTACGGTGGAGACAGCTTACTGTCTGCATTAACTGAGGTACTAGGCAGCGTCTGGGAATCAGAAGAAGTCCCATCGGGTTGGTGTAAGTCACTGATTATCCCCATATACAAGAAGGGAGACAAGTCTTCCTGTGATAATCACAGAGGGATTAGCTTGACTAATATAGTATCTAAAGTCTTAGGCTCAATAATCATGCGTAGACTGAGTGGTGCTCGGGAAGCACAAACACGAGAGAGCCAGGCAGGCTTTAGACCAGGAAGAGGGTGTATTGATCATATCTTCACCCTCCGACAGATTCTAGAACATAGGCATTCCTACCGGCGTCCAACAGTCATTATATTTCTTGACCTAAAGGCAGCATTCGACTCTGTCGATCGGGAAGTTCTCTGGAGATGCTTGGCTGTAAAGGGAATTCCAAGAAAATATATTGCACTGATTAAGGCACTCTACTCGTACTCATACAGCCAGGTGAGGGCTTACGGCGAGCTGTCATCTGAACTGGTGACGACCAGTGGTGTCCGTCAAGGATGCCCATTATCTCCTTTTCTATTCAACTTCATCATAGATGTGTTAATGGACTTAACCCTAGGTGACTTCAGCGACTCAGGGATTGACTTGCTACCGGGGAATAATCTCGTTGACTTGGAATATGCAGACGATATAGTCCTTCTAGGCGAAGACGCTGACGAAATGCAGAGTCTTCTAAACACCTTGAGCCGCAATCTACGAATGTTTGGCATGCGATTCGCTCCCGCCAAATGCAAGATGATGTTACAGGACTGGACTACATCGACGCCTAGTTTAAAAATAGGAAGTGAAGTGGTAGAGCACGTTGACCGCTTCACTTATTTGGGAAGTACCATCAGCCCCAACGGGCTGATCTCTGACGAAATCTCAGCACGAATACAAGGGGCTCGTTTCGCATTTGCCAGTTTACGCCGACTCTGGCGTAGACGAGATGTTCGACTATCGACCAAAGGGCGGGTGTACTGCTCATCAGTCCGCTCCGTCCTCCTTTATGGTTGTGAGACCTGGCCACTGAGAGTGGAAGACATGAAAAGACTAGCTGTCTTTGATCATAGGTGCCTGCGTTCTATTTCCCGTGTAAAGTGGCATAATAAGGTGAGCAACATGGAGGTTAGGCGTCGAGTTCTAGGTAAGGAGGGGAAATCAATCGACGAAGTCGTGAAGCTACAAAGACTGAGATGGTTAGGACATGTGTTACGTATGCCAAGCCATCGCCTCCCTCGACGAGCAATGTTAGCGGATATAGGGTCAGGCTGGAAAAAAGCTAGCGGCGGTCAAACAAAAACTTGATACCAGTCAATGAAATCCACAACAGTTGGTCTAAGCCACGTAGAAAGGTGTAGACTTCCAGGCTGGGGTCCTCGGGACGGTAAAAATCTATGGTTGGAAACAATTGGTGACATGGCTCAAAATCGTTCTCAGTGGCGCAGATGCATCCACTCCCTGTGACTTATGATCTTCAATGAAACTGTTTTGTATTTCTTTATTACTCCTTTGTCTCACACCTCTGTTTACTGTCTCTATTATGCTTTTCTTGTACTTTCTTCTCTTGCTTCGCGTGCTACACGGAATGTGGCGACTTGAACTTCCGCACATTTGTGCAAAGTTCTATGTCGAAAACAGACAGACAGTATAGGCTGTATCACTCACCAATGCAATCTATCCTCCGCTTATTTTGATAGATAAACTATGCTTTACAGTCATCGAAGTAAGGTAAGAAATCACCTTCGTTAGTTAGAAGTCGACTACCTTAAACAGATTTCCCATATACCAGGCTGTGTGAGAGCTAATAATACTACACATTTACCTAGTCTGAAGTAGATGAAACGGACAATACTTGTGAAAAGTCCGTGAATTGTGGAATAGATTAGTAAATCAAAGCTGCACTCAAGTGGTTCTCTACGCAGGAAATTTTTTGCTACCCAGGCTACCATCGTTCCCCACATTCAGAGTCAACAGTTGATACTTGTTTCAACTTGGAAAGTCAGGCAGTTTGATAATATTACCCAGCTGTCTAAAAATGAAATGAGGGTGGAGTGGGATTCAACTCCTGGACAGCATGTATGCGTACTTCGTCCAGTCAGATGTAAAACGATTCGTTAGAAAAGGGAATGGACAATAACAATGAAGGCTGAAGCGATCAACTCTTTATATATTGTGAGGATTAACTTTATACTAGGGGTTCAGCAACCCTCAATAGTAGGTAACTCAATGGTTATTTGTTCGGTTAGCTTTGAAAAACAATTTGGATGCTATCAACAATACCAACCAAATATTAACCGTCGAAAACGAAGGAGAAAGACATTATGTCTAAGGACAGTTTTAACTGTACGAAAGGAAAATGAAACACTAAAAACCAATAATACCTCATCGAAGCTATGTATTGTTCATGAGAACCTAAACAATGGCTGGTTATTTATTTATTATTATAAAAACACAAACTTGGTACATTACAGGTGCAAATGCATGCGGCACACAAATCTCATACTTTGTGCCAGGACCAAAGTAGGTGGTTGTCTAAAGGGACCAAGATCCGAGCCTTTAACTTGAAGTCTGATCTATATTAGATAAGTTTATTTTAAACATCATACAATGCTGCAGTATTAACAACTGGATGATGTTTCCAGCATAAATTATTGCTGATAATCATATCAGTTTAGTCGCACGGTTTACCAATTTGTCGCTGTACCAACAGTCTAACTAGTAAGCCGGAAGATTTATATAATGAAATCGTAAAAATAAAGGAAATTTCACTAGGGCATAACCAACCACCAGAATTTATTCAAAAATATATCAAGAGCCATAGAAAAACTAAGATTAGCAATAAAGATGACGAAAATAATACAGAGTTCAAAACCTCTGTAGTACTACCGTATAAAGAAGGAACGTCAGAGGCCTTAGGTAGGATTCTCAGTGATACTGGAGCTGGGGTGGCATTTAAACCAACCAACTCTCTGAGATTAACTGTGTCGGCTTAAGGACGCAATAGATTCAATTAAGAAAAGTAATGTAATTTACCAAACACCATGTAATGACTCTGAGGTCAATTACATTGGTCAAACTAGTATATCGGGGTCCACTAGATTATTAGAATAATTGTCCCACCTAAATTAATTATTAAAAAGTAACATAGGTGAAGAGAGACAAGTTAATGACTGAAGCTTTATTTATCGACTTAACACCGCACACGTGCAATCTGTCTGTCTGTTATCAACAAAGAACTTTGCACCGATGTGCAGCAGCATTTCGAGCTGCCAGACTCCAAGTACCACAAGAGAAGTAGAAGAAATGCACAACAGAGACAGTAAACAGAGATATGAGAAAAAGAATAGTAATATCGAAGAACAATATAGCTTCTACCGTCCCAAGGATCCCAACCAGGAAGTATTCACCTTCCTACATGGCTTAAACTAACTGTTTTGGACTTCATTGACTGATCAATTCATGTTTTGGTCTGACCACCACTGGCTCTTTTCCAACCTGACCCTATGTCAGCTAACATTGCCCGTCGAGGAAGGCGATGGCTAGGCATACGTAATACATGTACGACCCATCTCAATCTATGTAGCTTTACAGCCTCGTAGGTTGATTTCCCATCCTTACCTAGCACTTGACCGATGCCTAACCTCAATATCGCCCACCTTATTATACATCTTAACAATATACATGTGAACAAAAGCGTTAAGGTAACACCTAGTAAATACTAAGTGAGACCTCCACTACCTTAAAAGAAAAATTACACACCGAAATTCATACTGCCTGTTCAGTGGAAGTCTGGTTCGACAAAGATTAAAAATTTGCGGAAGCTTATATTGCTAAGAATTTCATAAAACAATAGATTTCGATGAAATAAAAGTTTAAGTCTCACCACCAGGATTCCACCAACGGTTGTCCAAAGTTTGTATCTTTAATTCATCCGAAATTTTCACATTATGAGATAGTAAATACTCTTTATCGGGCGGACAGTTCAACAAGGTAGTAAAGATTGTATGACAAATATTGTCAAGAACTGTTCTAGAAATAGTAGAACAATTGTAAGACTGTTCAGTAGATGGACGTGCAACAAATGTTTTTTCAGGTTTCACAATGAAGTTACGTTCATATTCGATGTACTTTTGAACATTAGACAAACGATTTACATACATGTCATCAAAATTCTTTGAATCATCAATTAAATATCTTCCAACCAAGCATATCTAAAATGCATACAAGGTAAAAACGTAGCCTTATAAATACATTAAAAAGAAATGAGATCAGTTTACTTCGTCAAATTACAAAGGTTTATTCTTTTTAAAATGAATAACTAGATATTCCATCTCTTACTGTAACATCGAACACCATTTCCGACGAACTTGCAGTCATTGTTTTCAAGCTTATAAGAGATTAGCTCACTACAGTTAGAACATACTTTAAGTACTACTTACGTTACCAGAAACTCGAATTTGTGATCAGAAATCTCCTACCAATCACGAGGAATTTTGAAAGCATACTCATATCACATCAGTCTAGAGAAGTGTCTAAACAAATACCACCATGAAATATTATATATATATATATATATATATATATATATATATATATATACATATATATATACATCTTCCCTTCAAACTGACAAGGGAGACATTGGTAAGCACATTTACACTGTAAAGTCTAGAGAATAGAAGAATTTGGAAATTTTATTTTTACCTATTATGTCTTAATTCTCTTGGTAGTGTTAGTGAGTTTCACATAACTGTTGAATGACTACGGATATTACAATTTGAAAAACTATTTATATTACAATAATTTCTTCATGTTCCGAGCGGAACAAAAGGCTTCAACAGCAAATCTCCATTTCACACTGTTCTCTGTTATCCTTTTCAGCTGGCTCCACGATTGCCCGCAAGTTTTCATCTCCTCCACGTCACTCTCAGACGCCCATCTGATTGTCTGCTATTCGGGTTCCTCATAACGGTCTCTTTTGGGGCAATAGGTTTTCAGTTGGTTCCTTGCCATAGTTCACTGTCGCTAATCCCTTCTGGCCATATGGTTTTCAGTATGGACCTAGAGAAAGCAACTATTGATAGTAGTTCTCAGTAGGTTGTTAGAAATGCTTCTGGTGAAGCGCACGCCAAGTCTTGATATTAATGTTGAAAATGCTCATCATGTTCCTTATTTTGAGTACACCAGATTTCCAAAATGGTTTCAGGGTAATGAAGGTCCGTCCCTGTGTTTGACATCCTAATCTGTGCCGCATGTAGTTGGAACACAAAGTGAACATAAGTGAAAGATGTGAATTCCTTCAAATTTTTTTAGTTTTTATTTATTTATTTTGATTATAGCTTGATTCCAAGTATGGAATTTAAAGCATGTGATATCGATATCCCAAAGTTTGCAGGCCGACCAATCGATATCAGGTGTGTGCCGGCAGGAGATCGAACCCCGGACCATGTGCATGGTCGGCGAGAGTCCTAACCGCTGTGCTATCGACACAGTGATAGTTTTCGTTGGTTGGGGATCTTCATCACCTTTGTCTTCTGTATGTTCACTCGAAGCCCTGTCTTCGTTGCTTGTACTACCAGCTTGTTAGTTTTCACCAGTAGACAGTAGAGTTTATGTGACATGAAACAAGTTCAGGTCTTCTGGTGTCTTCTTGCTCTTCTTGTCATGATCAAGTTCATCATTCGAAAACTATAGTGTTATAGACAATAACTCATTGGTTTTCAGTGTTATTTTTATTTTCTCCCAATGATTGGAAATTAATACCTTTTTAAAGGGATTTACTTATTACGAGTAATATCTCAACCAGTCTACTTAGTAATGCTGAACAACTGAAATCGAAACAAAAATTACATTGTAACCAGTCGCCTTCTGAACTTATTTCACAGAGAAGGATGGAAACCAAGAGAAGTGGCCACAGGCTAACACATGGACTCGTTTTTTATCAACAAAATTGCAAGTTTGTCACGATTTTGTAGATATGCCCCAGAGAAGTGACGGTCAAACTGTATACACGAACTGATGACTAGCTGGAAATCGATGTAACTGCTTTACATAATTACTGATAGACACAGCACCGTATTGTATCATTGTATTATTTGAACACAAACTTGTTACAGTAAGCGCATCAAGAAATAAAATACAGAATTACATTCTGTGAGAACCTGATTAATATTAATATACCCAAACTGAAGCATATGTTTCCCTAAACACACCGCTACCGGCGCCTATTGAGTTCTATTCACAGACCAACAAAGCAGCGTCACGTAATGTGTTCCTATGGGTACCTTTCGGAGCTTATGTATACAATTTATAACTGGAGTTTCTTAAATCCCTTGGTTCAACTATATGTGTCCACCAGTTCAGCTTTAAGCGGTGGATCATTCATCTCAATCTTGTGGAAACACACATCCGATTAGTACGAGGTATAGAGTTATGGTTTAGTGGGTATATATATATATATATATATATATATATATATATATATATATATATATATTAATGACTGGTGAATACAACCTTACACGTTTAGTAGATGGAATTCTCAGGGCGTCTACCTCGGGGATAAATCCACAGATAGCAAATACTTGCTGTATGTATTTAAGATAATTACCATATCGACTTTCAGTTATTTGTTTGACATTTACGCCTTCTCGTAAGAATGGAAGTGAATTTATTGGTATATTGAATTTGCCGAAGAGACCATAAGGGCAACATGGCAGCACAAATAACTTGCAGAGCGGACCTGATTTGCAAGCCAGAATTGGCAACCAGGGAGTTAGTTCATCACTGTGATTTCCGATCAGCCAATTCGACCCCGGAAAGCCATTACTGTTTTCTGGATTTAACGAAAATTCCTGATAATAAATTTTGTAAGAAAAGATACGTTGAGATTTAGCTATAAAACACTAACAGCTAAACAATTATTCATCATGACAAAGTGATGAGAGATAAACACGACAATAAAGTGATCATTCTTTTAACTAAAGGGAACATGTGAATACATTCTGACGGTATGTACAACTTAAAAGCTCAGACTGATAGAGACTGTCTATATATAGCTAATAAAATGAATAGAAAACAGTCAGTATTTTATTTTTTGAGTTATTCATTGGTTACTTAAGCGCCACATGAGCACACTCAAATAGTGGTAATCACTAACGAATTCAACGATTTATGTGCTTAGTTTTTAAAAATTTGAAAGGACTCAGCAACATACCTTTAGACGTTGTTGAACATTAGGAGGATACGATTCCCAAATGCGTCTTTTTCGGACATCTATTCCTACACCATCGAACTTGGCCTAATAAAAAATAAGGTGAATTACCCCTTCAGACAAAAGTATGTATGTCAAAAGTCCGTTTCCGCAACCAAGGTCAACAAAGTTAACACGTTCATTCTTCCACAAACACTGAATAGATACGTTCAACTAAATATGTACCTCACTTTTAGATAACACGCTATGCCAATATCTTCATATACAAATTTTAGCGGATCTGTCCTTTCCGACCAATTCTACAAGTAACGATCAATTATATTTCCAACTAGTACATGAACAAGGATTGATCCATATGCATTCTTGAGTTTTTCATATTCCATTTGATATAAATGAGGGTCGATTAGTGAAAGCGAATTAATATTGACCTTTATTTCGCAAGAATACCAGCAATTAAGCTTCTTTTCGAGTACTTCTTTTAACCAAGAACCTTGAAAGAAACTAGAAGGAAGCTCTTTCAAAACAGAGATTTGGATTCGATTACTTCCAGTAATATGAAATCACTGAACTTACTCCTGCATCTCTATAGTATATGTTATAAAGACAGACGAGAACTTGTACCGTGTGCCTTTCGTTAACACCTCAGTGAATTCCTTGATTCCAGTACGCAGCTTTGGGTATATAACTCTCTCACATGACTCATCACATTCGTTAATTACAGACGAAGCAAATACATTTTTATGTACAACTTGAGGTCTTCGAATCCACAGTGAAACAGCCTCAGTGAAACGTGAATCCATACTAGGTGGATACAAATCTCAAATCTATAATAACATTAGTCAAAACACCAAAGCAAATCAAGTAGCTACATTTGGAAACACAACTTTGTAGGATACCGAAGACAAAGCAGATCACTTACAAAAATGAACATGCTTATAAAAATAATTATACTCGTCATTTATTAATTTTGCGAGAGTCAGGTCCCTACAACATTCGTCAAAAAATTCATTTCGGAATACACACAATACTAATAAGTCTTATTAGAAGACTGAAAAAATGAATTCCTAAACCACTTCCAGTTAAAATCCCTGCGACTCAAATCGCCCAGGGACTGGTAGATCAAGCCTCATCCATACCGGTCGATAGGAGGCAGATAAAATCGACTACGATTAGCGAGGAGGATGACAATGAATGGCATAATGTAGTCTCTCGCAAAAAGCGAGATAAGGACGACACATCAGCCCACGAAGGACAAAAAGACATTTACGCTGCAGAGCAATAAAGCCACGGCAAGCAAACCTAGTCTCTCTGGCAGGTCGCTCATCCTCCACAAGGTAGAAGAGTCACTGGCCTCCGATCATAAGGCCAGATTCGAGCACCACCTTAGCGTGGACAAGCCCTTTTAGAAAAGCTGCTGCCAAAAACAGTATCAGGAATAACAATATACGGCGTATATAGAATCGGCGGAAAGTCTGACCCTACAGTGAATCAGCCTGTACGTCTCCTTAAAGTCGTACTAAACTCCAAATAAGAAAGGGATGCCATTCTAAGCAACTCTCAAATTCTTAAAGGATCAGGCATATATGTCCGTGTCGAAGTCTCCCAGTCAGCGATTTCAACGCCCCAACAGTTGACTGGACGAGCCTTACAAATCCATCTTCAGTCAACTCCTTTGATCATAAACTTCTGGAATCTAGTATATCGTTAGACCTAGTCAAACAAGTCATTAAGCCCCACGCGCTATGACTCACAGCGCTTCTCATCAACTCTGGACCTAGTGTTCTCCCACGGTGACGATGTTGATCCCCTACAACATCGTCCTCCCTTAGGAAGAAGTGATCATGCTGTGCCCACTTTCAAGTTCACAGCAACAGCAGAAAGGGCCAAAACCCCAGCTCAACCAAACGTTTGGAAAGCTGATATAAGTGCGGTCGTCTCAGCAGCCAACTCAGTGAACTGGTACATCAACCCGGAGTCCTAAGTAGAAGCCGCATGGAACTAATTTAAACAACTTTACGCCCAAGTAACTGGACCTTTTATCCCTTGGTCTGTCTCAAAGGGCCGGAAACATTGCCCCCCTTGGATAAACCGAGTGGTTCGTAAGTTACTCAGACGTAAACACAAATGTTGAAACCTGTTTGCCACACTTGAGACTCCTGAGACTAGGAAATTATACAACACTGGTAGGAATAAAGCTATTGCAGAAATCCATCAATCAAGGATGAAGTTTGAAGTACATCTTGCTCAGAATGCAAAGACGCAACCTATGAAAATTTTCTCGTACATGAACTTCAGAAATAAAACATACAATGGTGTCCAAAACCTGACTATTGACAATGACACAATCGAAGAAGACCACGAAAAAGCAGAACCAATGGCAGACTACTTCTCCCGAGTCTTCACACAGGAGTCACCACTCACTACGGGATCAGCTCTGGCTGCATCAGAGGAATATGGGATAGATTCCGTTGACATCGACCAAGGCATCGTGCTCAACTGCCTAACGAAACTAGGTGCAGGGAAATCAATGCGACCTGATAATCTTTATCCCAGGCTTCTCAAGGAGCTATCAGCTCACATAGCCGGCCCTTTGACCACGATCCTCAAGCTCTCTGCTAAATAGAGTGCTACCGCGTGACTGGAAAGACACCATAGTAACCCCCATCCACAAAGGAGCATCAAGACAAAGACCTTCATATTACAGGCCTATGAGTCTCACCAGCAATTTAATCAAGATACTGGAAAGAATCATCAAGAAAAGCATCATGGCATATCTGGAAAACGGCAGCTTGTTATCCAGAGCACAGCATGGCTTCCGAAGAAACCTCTCATGCCTGTCAAATCTCCTCACTGTAAGAGAAAGCTGGGTCAAATCAATGGACAACAGAAGACCCGGTGACGTCTTCATGGACTTCAGCAAAGCCTTTGATAAAGTACCTCACAAAAGACTACTCATGAAATTGGAAAGTCTTGGTATCAAGGGCAGATTACTAGACTGGTTCAGGGAATTCCTCATAGATAGGAGGCAGAGGGTTAGGATCAACTCGGAACTCTCCTCTCGGACAGCAGTAAGTGGCGGAGTGCCACAAGGCACGGTACTCGGACCTCTCCTGTTTATTTTGTATATCAATGAGTTATCTCTGCACACAGACTCTCCTATGGTCCTATACGCAGATGACTTAAAAATTTGGAGAGAGCTGAAGGGCAACAGTGATAAGTCCAAGCTGCAACAGGACCTCAACGAATTGTCAGTGGTCGATAGAATGCATGCTCCCTATCAACGTAGCAAAATGTGCAACCATGCAAATCGGACAAGCAAGTATCAGCTCCTACGAACTAGAGGGAATAACACTTCCATCAGTTCAGACTCACTTGGACTCTGGTGTCATAGTTAGCCACGACTTAAAAACTACAGCACACTGTCGTGCGGTGGCTGCATGTAGTTTCAGGTCCTTATGGGCAATTTGCAGAGCCTTTACTAGAACCAACAGAGATATGTTCACCTCCCTATATACACCTCTGGTGAGATCAAGACTGGAAAACTGTATCCAGGCTATCAGTCCTTGCCTAAAAGGGGACTCACACATTCTAGAAAGGGTTCAAAGGAAGGCAACACGTACGGTTCTCGGCATGACTAACTTATCATACGAGGAAAGACTAGACAGTTTAAATCTCTTCTCCCTGTCATACCATAGGCAGAGGGAGATTTAATCACAATATTTAAAATTTTAAATAATGACTACAAACCTGACCTATTCTGTTTTCCTTTGCATCAGGTCGGAACAACTTAGAGAACATAGCAGGAGAGTTCAAAAGCCAAGAAGAAATCACAATGCTGTTGAGTGCTGGTTCTCACACCGAGTCATAAACTCTTGGAACCGACTCCCAGAAGAAGTGGTCTGCAACCTCAACTGATTCATTCAAGAAGGGTTTTGACAGCCACAGAAATTTACTAGAGAAAGACTAACATAGGCTCCAAGCCTTCTATCCTCAACCAATAAATCTGAATCTGAAATCTTAACAACGAACCATACTAATTTATGAGGGTTAATGAAACTACTTTGGTGTATAAATTTCGCTAGGTGCAGTGGGGTTTTGAACCCATGATCCACCAGTCAGAAGTGGAGCACCTAAGCCAACAAACCACAAATTTACAACTAGAAAACTAAAGTACATGACTTTACAATGTACTCCTTGAACTGCCCTTCTCTTAGATGTGCCTAAACTGATGACGAACATTGTTCATAAAGGCGTATCACACTTCATTGCCGCGTTCACGTTATGCTAGCATCATATAATGATGTTGTAGCCATGTAATCCCAAAGGGCAAATAGTGCCAACATGGCAGCACCAGCCTGTGAAATAGCAACGCCAAAGCGCAGCGTGTCTAGTGCACGAATTGCTTCTAGTCGCGGCGAAAACAGAGTCTGTCTGGATTCAACAGAGTAGGAGAAACCGATTCCACTTGGTTGCTGCCGAAAGGTAAGAAGTAAAATAAAACTAGGAAAGAAACAGTAGTCGAGTTTAACAACAAGGTCTCGACGGCTGTTAGTACCAGCCAAACTCAGAAACCCACGGACTCTAGTTACAGTATTATCATCTGGAACTTGGAGGAATCTAAGAACACAGATCCAGCTGCCCGACATGCAGATGATCTGAAGGCGATCAGCTCCATTTTCCGGGAAATACTTCCCGAAAAAACAACTGGAGTACACGTACGAAAGGCCATCAGGATCGGAAAACGAAACCCTGATGCTACAGGAACTCCTCGACGACTACTTAAGGTAGTTTTAGGGAACGAAACAGAGAGGAGGACCATCCTCGACAACGCGTTCAAAGTCAACGACAAAAGTCTAAAAATAAGGCCTGATTGGCCTTTGGAAGATAGAATCAAAAGAAGAGAAGCCGTGGCTGAACTAAAGGCCAGGCTAGAGAAAGGCGAGAAGGACCTCAAACTATTGGGTTTTCGGGTGGTGAGGTCTCGGAAACCGATGCTGCCGAGACCTCTCTTCATAAGCCGGGTGAACACGTAGGTGTTTCGGTGTGCTATACGAACGCATGTAGTCTTAGGAATAAGCTCGCCGAATTAGGAGAGTTATCTGAAAGACTACAACCTGATGTAATTGCTATCACTGAGACGTGGTTGTTAGTGGGTGTAGACTTAACTCCACTCATACCTGGGTATATCTGCATACGAGCAGACAGAGTAAGTAGTCGGAAAGGTGGGGGGTTGCTCTATACATCCGGGATGACATAGGGATCAGGTCAACGTTGTCAGAAGCTCATGACAGCGGCACCAGTGAAGCCGCAAGTTGCATCATTAACTTAAACAAAGGCACTTTAACGATCGGAGTTATTTACAGAAGTCCTGCTAGCCAAGCTGATGACTTCGTTCTAAATCACTTGAGGGCGTGGGGTAGTAGAAATAGGTGTCTGATTGTTGGCGACTTTAACGCTCCACATATTAATTGGGGGGAATTAAACTCCACTAGTTTGTATACCTGTTTCAATAGGGAGCTCACATTGACAGTGCTTGAATGTGCACTCGTGCAACATATGCATGCACCAACACGGTATCACCCTGAACATGATCCATCTACTCTAGACTTGGTATTGACACACCAGAAGGAGGACGTTGGTAACATTAGGTGCCTTCCGCCGCTTGGCAGCAGTGACCACATAGTCATTGCTTTTACGTTTAGGATTCATTCTCTCATGCACAGGCCAAAATCTGCTCGTCCAAACATTTGGAAAGCGGATATACAAGGAATCCGGAACGCAGCAACTGTGGTTGACTGGT